CAAGCAGAGCCACATAGGCATAATTGGCAAAGCCAGATCCAGACAAGAAAATGCGGCGATACTGAGAAAACAAATGAAAATTTTCATTTTCGTAATGACATTTTCTAGCACGTGTATCATGATCGAGTACCAGAATTTATTGTTTTCTGTTGCTTTATTATACTTTACTTATAGCCTCTATACAATTTTAAAATACCGCATAAAAAGGCATTAGTTCATGTCAAAATTATCTTTTCACTTACGAAAGCACAGTATCAAAATATTTTGCTTGCGTAACAAAATCAGAAACTAAAACGGTCCGTGTCTTAGAAAAGCTCTTTGTTTGCGGTACTTTTTCAGTTTTTACAATATTAAATGAAAACAAATGTTAATATCAGAGACAGTTACTTTTGAATTCTTTTTAAAAAGGAAGACCGTTGGGAATAAGTTAAAAATGGCCATGAATTTTCTGGTACAGCTTCTGAAAAATATTCTCCCGCCGGTCCTAAAGAAACGTTGCATAAACTCGGTCTTATTTTCAGAATTTTTTATTCGACCGATGCCGTCAATGCAAGACGAAGCAGAAGGCACGTCTGAAATTTTCAGCGCAATGGAAATCATGTTATGTATATCCATTTTTTGTCGACACAATGAAAGTCTTATTCCTGTATTTTCAGTGCAATGGAAATCATGTTATGTATATCCATTTTTGTCGACGCAATTCAAGTCTTATTCCTGTATTTACAGCGCAACAGAAATAACGTTATTTTGGCATTAGAGATTCGACCATAAGTTTTATTATTGACGTATATGGTTTATAATGACGTATAGAAAACTAGAACAGATACCACACGAAGTCATTTCATATTATATATGCACTGTGTAGGAGTTGATATGATTTATAAATATATATCACTCGTAATACAGGGTCCTTCAAAAAAAATATCTGATTTCAACAGGCTTTTGCAAAACTCATACGACACATACAGAACAATTAATTTTATTTGTGAATAGCTTATTTGATGCCATTTTATATCACTTAGTACACTTTACTTGGTTTTGAAAATTATGTTTGATAAATGACGTCCCCCATTGTTAAGACATTCACGCTTTCCCTGAAGTTGCCCATAGTTCTTCGTGTAACTTCCCTTGGAATGGCTACCACTTCCTGCCTAATGGAATGTTTTAGTTCTTGCAGATTTCTGGGACGATGTTTGTACACTTCAGCCTTTAGGTAGCCCCACAGAAAAAAATCGCAAGGTGATAAGTCGGGTGACCGTGGGGGCTAGGAAATGTCTCCTCTTTAAAGACACAAGACGTCCAGAAAACAACTCTCTTAACATTTCCATGGACCGGCGAGCAGTGTGAGTCCTTCTGTGGGGCTACCTAAAGGCTGAAGTGTACAAATATCGTCCCAGAAATCTGCAAGAACTAAAACATGCCATTAGGCAGGAAGTGGCAGCCATTCCAAGGGAAGTTACACGAAGAGCTATGGCAACTTCAGGGAAAGCGTGAATGTCTTAACAATGGGGGACACCATTTATCAAACATAATTCATAATAATTCATAATATCAAATAGTAAAGTGTACTATATGATATAAAATGGCATCAAATAAGCTATTCACAAATAAAATTAATTGTTCTGTATGCGTCGCATGAGTTTTGCAAAAGCCTATTGAAATCAGATACTTTTTTTGAAGGACCCTGTATATATCACTCGGATATTTTAAAAAATAAATCATCGTAATCCAAGGTGAAGTGTTATGCCCATCAAATTATTTCATTTACTGCTTGAATAACGTTCGCCTTTAAGGCGAACTTGAAGATTAGTTTAACGTATTTTTGATCATGTGATATCATTAACCTATTTGTTTATAAGTGTGTCGTTTCTACGGGAGCGAGAGACAAATAATTAGACTTTCCTTAAGATAATGGATCATTTGTGTCATATATTGATTTACTACTTGATTTGGTCAGTCGTTTCCAAATTTCTGTTTAGAGGTTATAATTCATCATCTTCATCGGATTATTAATGAATAATCACTGATGGTCATTAAATCCTGCCTAAACCAAAAACTGAAAACAAACAAAGTCTCGGTCGGATTATCAAATCCTTATGCTCAAACATAATATTTATTGTGCGTTGAAAATGTCTATTAATTAACGCCGATAAATTGATCCATGCGCGCCTTTAATTCTTTTGTTTAGGTATATTGGTTGATATCCATATTAATTAAATTCTTAATATATTATCTTTGAAACTTATTGATTGACTTTTTTAGTTAAGAATAAAATGCAAGACTTCGTTCACATTCAACGAACGTTCAATTCATTCAACGGACCAAGCGACTCCCTCGTTGACACGATATTGACGTTACATGCAGCACATGTCGTGACAAAAGTCTTCAATTTGCTCGGTAAATGCTTAAAAATACTTGAAATGTAATAACGAGCGATAACACTCGACATTTATTTAAAATTGCCTGTTATTCAGAAATAGGAATCATGCCGAATAAACGCTTGCTTATCTTTAAGCTGCAAGGTAAAATGTTTAATTTGTGCTGCGTCTTGAAAACTCAGTCCAGCTCTTCATTTTCTCTGAAGGACGCTTCATTTGCTCTTGGACGCTTCATTAAGATAACGCGTTATTTATATATAACCTCTAGATGAATTTCATAAAAATTTGTCTTGACTTAGCATTATTTTCTAAATTTTTTAACTGCATAATTACATTTTAGTTTTGAATAAGAACAATGGATGTGCACTAGTTTAATGTTTACATATTTTATTCGTGCGTCTAATTTAAGTAACTTCACAGCAAAAGTTGAACTCCAACTACGAAGGAGTCTTATAGAATTGAGAATATAGAATTTTTCCGCCACATCTTTTGAGTAAAGTTAAAATACATTCACGTCTCATCAGAAACTTAAGTAAGTGTAGGCGATAAATAAAACTTTTAAAAACTATTTGCAGCATGTGCGATAACAGAAATAATATATAATGAGCAATATTACCCATTCAATCAACAAGGTCGTCAACAGGATAAAGCTCGCTGTAAAGTCCTCTTAAGTAAATAAGATTTTTACGAAAAAATTTACCACGCTAATTGAATGTCAAAATTAATTAGCAACACTCCATGCGCTACGTGCATAGATTACAAACCTCTTGCATACGAATAGAAATAATCTTATCGAAAAAAAATTCGAATAAGTCATAATCACTCTGAACCGTGTTTTCTTAGCTTTCGTGGCATGAGCGGAAAAATTCTTAGTAATTTCTTAAAGTATGTAAGATCAGTTGAGTTCTTCAAGATTAATTGGAACGAACTGTCTTTAGCGCGTTGAAAAATAAGACCGATGGCGCACCGAAAACAGACTTCGCTGTTTTTGAGGGACATCTCAAAATTTCTGTATTAATAGCTCAGGCCATGAGGTCGCGAGGAATCTGTTATCTTAAGCCATGAGGTCGTGAAAAATTTTTTATCTCAGTACCTGAAGTCGTGAGAAATCTACTATTTGTTATCTCAGGCTCTGATGTCGCGAGGAATTTGTCTTATCTCGGGCCCTGAGGCGTGAAGAATTTGTTATCATGAAGCTACAAATTATTTGGCGACATAACAGATTCTCGCTCCTGAATCAATATCCTTACACCTGTCCTGTCGGAATTACTTTGAATATATATATTATATATATTTTCAATAGTTAATCACTTCGCAAATGAGGTGTGAAACTCTGAGCTCGAGGTGAATGTTGCATGTACATACTCTGAATCATCGTTAAATTGCAGTTCTTCTCTAAACACTCTAGTATAACCATGATACAGCTTTACATAAATGTTAGCTACCAGGCCTAACAAGCACAGCATTCTCTCCAGAATACAACAGCTCATGAATAAACACTACAGAATAATCATAACTATAATATTAATTTTCTTCATAAATTCGAGCATGCATAACTACTTCTAAATTAAATATTAGCAATAAAAGCACTAAGATTTAATGAAGCAGGTCCAATAATACCAGTATATTAACCGCTAAAAATTGTAGCAGAGTTATAATCATTACGCAATACGTTAATTAGCGCATTTAAAATATCTATTACGCGTTACTATTGCCACAGAATAAGCTTTAAGGGGACCGGCTAACCTCCGGAAAAACTTCTACAGTTATCATCCGATCATCATGAAACTTCACATACATACGTAAAATGTAAAAAAATAACATTTTGTTCGTATGAATTTTTCGAAAAAAATTGATAGAAAACGTGAAATTCATAGAAAACGGACAAAAACGGGTACTACAGAAAATCTATCTCCTCCTACAAATATCGTCCTACAACATCCAGACACATATCATCCGATTTGTAAAGACCATATCTATCAACCTAGCCATCGCTTTCTTTCATTTTCCCCATATTTTCTTATTTATGCGCGTTTTTCCCATTTTTTCACTTTTTTCATCCCTTCCCCCCCTTCTCCCCCATTTATATGACGAACCATGCACAAATTAAAAAAAAGCGATGGCCACGTCGATAGATATGGTCTTTACGAATAGAATGATATAACTCTCATTGCTGTAGCTTGAAAACTGTAGGAGGAGATAGGTTTTCCGTGACAATAAGTTGAACTTTTCAAACTTTTCAGGACGGCGCGACAAAGTCCCGTGCGCCTCGAAATAGGCACTCAATGTAGCATGGATACCAAACTACAGGCTTCTGTAGCTTAATTCGCAGTAGTATCGTTGGAAAGCTCAGAATGTCAGCTTTAAGATGAGACTAAGCATGTAACTGCAGCACAACTCAAGTAGAAACTATATTCAAAGATTTCAGCAGCTAATTACTTTATTTCTAATTACTTAAAGAACTCTCCCACCCGCTTCCCTTTAAAGAGACGTCATGAACGTAAATATTGGCGTACAGCGATGGCAGTGGTACCATTGGAAAGAGCAGAATTTCAGCTTTCAGATGAGCACAAAAACCGAAAAACGTCAAAATTGAAAATTTTGGGGTAGCCGGTCCCCTTAACTGCTGAGATTAGATTTGATTCGCATAATTGAGAAGATTCCATTTGCTTTTATTGGAAATTCGCGTGAGCTGCTTTGAACTTCAAATTAGCTTTATTTTACTTTTTACTCGCATTTAAATTTCACTCTGAAACATACGGCAACAATTTTTCAACAAGGCACCAGTTTTAATTGATTCAAGTAGCCTCTCATTCTGTAAAAATGTTAATTTTTTATCTGCGTGAAAATATTTCTCTGCTTTTGAAATACATTCTTTGAAAATTAAAGTTCTCTTCCAAACCGAAAAGTTCCATTCAATTTCCTTACAAAAATAAAATGGCGTCTCGATATATTTTCGATACTTCGAGCAAGATTTAATTCCATCTTTCAATCACTCGTCGTCCGGTTTGATGTCTCCCTCTTCTGCAGTCCACGGCAATATTTCGTTCATGTTCTCGACGCTTTCAGAACTAAATTTTTGCTCACGTTTTGCAGCGACGCAAGTTTTAGGTCGCTCCCGTTTCTTCTGAAGAACTTCGCCATCCTCTTCTGTCCCAGAAACTAGCCCAATATCGGTATCATCCTGCGTTACATGCCCGTCTGAGACTCCTTCTTCAGACAGTGGGCTTACTTTATTTTTCTTGAGTTTCTTATTCTTTTTCTCAGCCCATTGTTCATCATTGCTTTCAGCTTCGTTAGGTTTTAAAGCCTCGTCGGGGATTTCGTTTGAAGCTTGAGGAGAGTCAAGAGAACATCGTTTCGAACTTTTATTACTTTTCGGTGATGCAGCAATGGTCCCGGACTTGGACGACTCGCTGCTCTCAACTGAGTGTTTTGTTTGCTGTAATTGATCACATTTCGGGGATGCTTTAGACAACTCATGCATCTCATTATTCTCTGGCATATTCGAGGTATCCTCATTTTTAGAAGATATTGTTGAAGTACTTCCTGTTGACATTACTTGTGCTTCATTGTTTCCAGTGGGTTTTGGTGCTTCCACCTCCGTCATTTTATTAGGGGGAGAAACTGGCAGACAGGGCATTCCTGGACGGTGTCCAAAAGCTCCTTCACGTGCAGGGCCCAGAAGCTTTGCTCCCGACGAAATAGGTTCCAGATGTTTCAAAGTTTTATCCAAATTTGGCTTATTTTTTTGTGCAGATCCCAACCTCTTTATTCGCGCAGAGATGGGACGAGATCTCTTAGCTTGACCTATAGGAGGAAGTTTGCCAAGAGGCCCTTGCAGCCCGGGAGCATTTGAAGAACCTGGTCCAGCAAGGTTCCCCTGTTGGGGACAAGCTCCACCTGGTAAAGGCTGACCTGGGTACCCATTGCACACGTAACCATTAGCTTGCCCGTATTGGTTGGGTACCGGCCCAGGAGGTTGATACATTTGTCCTTGCATAGCACCCTGATTCGAATTACCGGGCTGAGGCAGGGAGATGTTCTGGCTACACACACCTGCATTACTGGCTGATCCTCCAACCTGCATAGAATGCTGGCCAACATGACCGTTAGGATAGGCAGGTGCCATCTGAGGCGGCGGATATCCTCCAGGTCGAGTGTTTGCTCCTGGGGAACAACCGTAGGCAGAGGACACTGTTCCGTTCATTACGTTGGGTTGTCCATTGAAATTAGCTTGGTTTTGATAGGCATTCGTTCCCCCAGGATACGATGCGTAAGGCCCCGGCTGACCAATATTGCCAGTATAGTTTCCCGGCGCCGAATAACCGGCTGATCCTGGATGCTGGGGGATTTGTTGCCCTGCGCCAGAAATAACTAAAGGACCACTTTGTCCCACCCCTGTTTTGCCAAGGTCCTGCTTTCGTTTCTTTGCCTTCTTGACGCTATCAGGATCATCTGAATCTTCATCATCGGCTGCGGCTGCTTCAGCTGCGATGAGGATATCTTCATCCCTGAGGAATGCCTGATTGTCCAAGCCATTCTTTTTATTCTTTGCCGCGCCGGAAATTTCTTGCTGATGTTTCAGCTTGAGGTTCTGCGCCGTCATCTGTTCAGGCCGCATGGGCTTCAAAGGATCTTCGTCAATGCCGTCACCAGAGAAGTCCAGGTCATTGGTGAAAGCCAGTTGATCAATGGCCCCCGTGAGGGCACCGAAGCCATCGTTGGCATCAGCATCAAAGTCCGAGTCTTCATCCTCGCCATAGAGGACGTCTTCCAGGTTGGTGGTAACCCCGGCTTTGACGTTGTACGCGCCAACGCCACCTTTCTTTTTGATCCTACAGAAAAATAAATAAAAATGTAAATGCTGATCGCATCGCGAAATAAAAATGACAGATTAGAATTTTCAGAGGGTGTACATGGTGATTTTTATTCTGCCATATCCGATTCCTGAAAAAAAACAGTCCAAAAATATTTGTTTCTTAATAATAAGACGTTTCTTGATAATTAATAAAAACCATGTGGAACATTATGCAATTATTTTATTGACATCGGCCATAATTTTCAAAGGAGAAGTTAATAATGATTATTATATTTTTCATTGCTGATCAATAATAAACTTGATCATTGTCTAGGATATTATTACCATGTTTAATTTTTTTCTAATAATATAATATTTGTGCAGAAAATATAATTAAGGACGACAAATAAGATTGACATAATTGTATGGCCATATCTCACCCATGCAGAGGCGTAGACTGCGCACTACAGAGCCCCCACATCTCCCGACGCAGATACTCTCCCGTGACGCCCCGACGCTTTAATTCTTTTATTGTTACTTTGCCGACGCGCTGCAAGAAAACCAACAGGTTTTTTCAAGAACTTTATTTGCAATAAGCGGACTTTTTTTTTGTTTATGCTTGCAAAAAATTCAGTTTATCGCTTCCTTGTCGATGCGCTGCAAGAAAACCAAAAAGTTTTATTTACAATCGCAGCAATAACCCGACTTTTCTTTGTTTCTGCATGCAAAAATTTAGAGGAATATTGACCAAGCCTTGCAGTCGTTAAGATTTCATCGAGGTCCGATGGCGATGTTTGTTTCAATATCGTGGAAGTTGGAGATATTCTTTCCCGACTGAAATGAAATCCATATGTTTGGCTTGACTTACGCAGAAGTTTTCTTATTATTTAATAAGGAAATCTCATGATATTATGAGGAAATGTTTAACTTATTGGCGAGGAAGTGTTAGCAATATTCTCTAATATTGTCAATACTGCAGGTAAGTTAGAAGTATCTCTTCTAAGTTAATATTAGTAGTTTAGAATTCCAGTGATCTATGGCTTGAATTCAAGCATTTCAATCTCTTTGATTGAAGACAAGATATCTATTTGATCAATCTCTGTTCCGCGATTTTTCTATCCACTGTCAATAACAAATTCGTTTTTATACGATACATGGCGGTGTAATCAAGGTTTTCGGCTCAAATGAGATTTTTTTACATTATATGCTGAAATTTACTTACTAAACTCGCAAATCTTAGGTTGACGTTCATTATACGAAATAACGTACGATTTGATACAATTTACCTCGCATTAAAAATTCCATCTAAAATATCTGTCTAATTTCCTTCACAAATTTACGCACCACTTCCTGGCTCCAATAAGGTTTTTTTTATATTCCAACAGAGTTGCACAAGAGCAATTAAAATTAGCCTGACCAACCTTTGACGAGCGTGCTTACGCCGCGTCAAAAAAATACATCCTGAAACTGCTATGGGAAATTTATTTAAGCACTTTATTTACAGTCTATTTTCTTCACATAAAACGTTAACATTACGATGTTGAAGTCTACGTTCGATAAACAACGGAATGACCATAAGGAGCGCATGTGTGCTCAAATGACATCAGACGCAAAATTTTGATTACTTTTCATTGAATAAGAGTGCATTTTATTGCTTATCCGGCAAATACATGCGTACAAAGATAAATTTTTCGTAAGGTGTCGATTAAAGGCACGTCGTTACAAACCCAATCGACAAGTTCATTTGATGAGGTAAATTGGGTCGCTCATTTTTCGGGACGACGGATTAATTTTTGGGCATTCTTATTAATTTCAATTTTTGTCATCAGAGTAATTTTGATGCCTTTCAACCCGACACAGCAGGAAGCAACAAGCAGAATCAACTTGAACCGCAACAAAGTCGGCAAGAAACTTGCACATAAGCTTTAGTGAACGCGAAATTTAAGTGTATAGGAAATGTGTAAGTTAGATTAATAAAAATTGAAAACGGTTCAAATAATACAGGCAGTATTCACTGCTTAAAATTTCTCGCCTGTTAATAAAACTAACCTTCCAGTTGGATAAGGCGCCTTTCCTCTGCTTGGCCTTAGTCTTGTCCTTGCATTTGATGACCATAACACCAAGGTTCTCCTCACCCCCGTCTTCCTCACCCCCTCCCCCTAGAGGCACGCTGTACACGTACAGGAACTCCTTAGCCTTCGCCTGGGGTACAGCTCGCTCCAGGGCGATCACGATCTTGGCCCACTGCCGCCATGTTGGGGAGCAAAGCTTAATAAGGCACGATAAGAGCGATCACGATCTTGGCCCACTGCCGCCATGTTGGGGAGCAAAGCTTAATAAGGCACGATAAGAGCGATCACGATCTTGGCCCACTGCCGCCATGTTGGGGGCAAAGCTTAATAAGGCACGATAAGAGCGATCACGATCTTGGCCCACTGCCGCCATGTTGGGGGCAAAGCTTAATAAGGTACGATATAAGACGCGATCTGCGCTGCCTCCTTTAGAGGGCACCTTATTAACTCGGCTGAATCAGGTAGGCAAGACTGAATTGAAATTAGCATGCAAATTATGACTCTGTTGTAGAGGAGGAGGATGTTATAGTTTGGGTTATCAAATTAAATGCTAAGATAGACTTCACAAGGTTTTAATTATCATTTCCAGCGCTAATTGACTTCTGGTACTCACAGCTTTGACCCACTCCTTTTCTGACATGGAGATGACGGTGGAGTAAGTGTTACCCATCATGGCGATCAGCATGTTCAGCAACATGATGGGTAACATGATGGTGAACACCAGGAACACGAACTTTGTCAGGGCGCTGTAGATGTTTTGACTCATTGCTCCGTACTGAAAGGAAAATGTTACTGACTTATCCAATTCATTTTGGCAGTCTAGAAAGTTGGAGGCATTACAGAGCAGATTTACTAAACCTTAATTGGGTACCACTCTTTTTAGTTCGATTTAATTTATAACGTTCATTTTTAAAATAATTTAAATTATTTTGAAAAAATATTTTCAAGCGATTTAAATACTCATAACAGTACTTAAATCGCTTGAAAATGTTCTACTTGATTGTCTATAGGTGAAATTGTTTTAAGCAAGTTAAAATTTCAGTCAACGGTTAAGATCGAATGTTAATTTGTGATACCTGTCAAAATGACCACTAAAGAGTAACTACACTGAAATTGGACTTTCGGGTGGTATAGCCGTTCAATTTACTCTTCCCTCGATGACCCTCCAGCGTCAGACGTTGACAAACGAATCTATTTCGTGAGCTCAACGATACGGTGGGAAGCTAATTTTTTAAATAAGGACTAACGCAACCGTGATCGCTATTTAATGATAGTTAAAGAAGACGTTAAGATCGCCTGATGCAGACAACATGATTTCCTTCAAGAGAATTCGTTCCAGGATGATGTTGGAAGTGGTGAGCTGGTGAATTTTATGGACAAGGAAGCGATCGCTGGGGGTGCTTCGAGCAGTAATCTCGAGGTAATTTCCTGGGAGCGATGCAGCTATACAATAACACCGCAGACCAGAGCAGCCGTTTCGGCGTAATTGAAACTCCATAGAAACTCTGTCGTATTTACGATAAATGATAATAGGGATGAAAAAATAAACGTTATCAGGACTACTCATACGCTAAATTGCCTGTCACTGTATCATCGAATCATTGTACATGATGCGAATAGTCGTTCACGATCTGTAGCAGTTAAAATTTCGAAATGTAATAATGCGTTTTGGTACAGATGTAAATTTTAGTTAAGCAATCTTAAATCAAGTCTTTAAAGTCTAATCAGTCTCCGTTTCCGAGACGATTTGACGGAAAAACTACGCGTTGATCTGATCACTAGGGCTGCAACGTGCGTTCCATGATAAACCTTACTCTGAAGTCTCCTTAGGTTGTTATTTTTCGTTGCCATATGGAATATCTCGCATCGTAGTCCCTCAGTGTCATATGAAATATCTTACATCGTAGTCCCCCAGTGTCATATGGAAGATCTTACATCGTAGTCCCCCATTTTCATATGGAAGATCTTACATCATAGTCCCCAAGTCAGTATACCTTCTAGAATGTAGATAGTCCCCCAGTGTCATATGGAAGATCTTACATCATAGTCCCCCAGTGTCATATGGAAGATATTACACCGTAGTCCCCCAGGGTCATATGGAAGATCTTACATCATAGTCCCCCAGGGTCATATGGAAGAGCGCCATCCACGTGGTGCCATATGTGACAAACTTGCTGTCTTTGTCAGGTATGACGCTTCGCTTGTACAAGAAATAGAAGGCCTGAGTGAAGCCCAGCAGCATGATGCCGTAGATGATGGAGAAGGTGAACATGTCGCCAGAGATCATCTTGTAGATCATCACTACGAAAGGTCCTGTTAGTTTTAGCGCCCTGGGTGAAAAAAAAGAAAATTTTCAGGTATAATTTTAGATTTTTACAATAACGCTTGAATTTAAGGGCTTGGATTTTCTTGTGATTATTAATGATCACAATTTTCTAATGTTAGTAACAAATTTTCGTTGGATTAATACAGGCCAAACAGTTGCTTCAGAGTAAATAATAAACATGAGCATTTTAGCTTTACTATTGAAATTGACCATAAATTACCGTATATGTTACAGAGATATGAAGGAATATGAAAAATCGTAATCATTCATTAAAAAACAGAGCTCCACAAAGTACTTGAAAAATTCTTTTCACCTCCTCAATAAATTTTTCACACTAACTTAGCATGATCACGTAACCCTCATAAAAATAATCGAGGGCGACAATACAAGTTGAAGAAATAATGAATGCAGAATGAAAATTTTAGTTGTATTGTGCCATTCGCTTTACTGCTTGTATTCGACTGAGTTTATCAAAACTTGCAATTACATCGCAATTGATAAATTGGCATTGAATTATTCTTTACAATTAATTTTTCTCTGTAAAATAAAGCTATGCGTACTTTTATTGCTCATTTCGAAGCTATCATATATGCAAAATATCCATCCAGTTTTTAAATTTAAACAAGAACACCCATGCAGCATCAATTCCGTTGGTGATGAACTGTCAAATATGAGTAAACAAATTTAACATAGCGCCTATTGCTTGTGATTGTTACAAACGAAATGAAACAATCAACATATCAGCTAAAAAGCCAAAAATTACATTTCAGCTTCTCTTTACCGATGCTTAGCTTAAATAACGTATGTTTGCATAAGAAATGTATTTCTGACGAAATAACCAATCACTCCCGCGCCAACAGGCTAAGGAAAGACTCAGTGAGAGGCTGAGTCTTTCCTTAGCCCAGGACCCGTATGAAGATGGCAGGCTTTCAATACAGCCAAGCCTGTCATTGACAGGAACTTTCGAAATGCAAAAATTCAAGGGTTTAGCTTCTCAATGAAGCAGGGAAGGCGATTCGAAGCGACAATCTCGACAATTTTAACGGAGGTCATCAGTTCGATGATGGTCGTTGATTCAGTCTTCAAGTCAATCAATGATAGGTTTAATTTGAATTTATAATGAGGTTCGTACAGAGATTTAAAAACGCGTTAGAGGTAAATATTTTTTGTGTCTGAGACAGATCTGCAGCATAAATGTTACTATTGTTGTAGATATCTTCATGATGAGCAAAAACAGCACACAGAACTGCGTAACTTAGCAGCCATCACCATCCTGAACCAGTTCATGGCATAAGAAACATAATCGAAAGCGGCGATTATCATAATAAACTTAGTATACGGCACCAGAACATCACTCACCCCGCGAAGAACATCATGAACCAGGACCCGGCACCAGAACATCACTCACCCCGCGAAGAACATCATCATGAACCAGGACCCGGCACCAGAACATCACTCACCCCGCGAAGAACATCATCATGAACCAGGACCCGGCACCAGAACTTCACCCACCCCGCGAAGAACATCATCATGAACCAGGACCCGGCACCAGAACATCACCCACCCCGCGAAGAACATCATCATGAATCAGGACCCGGCACCAGAACATCACCCACCCCGCGAAGAACATCATCATGAACCAGGGCCCGGCACAAGAACATCACTCACCCCGCGAAGAACATCATAATGAACCAGGACCCGGCACCAGAGCATCTCTCACCCCGCGAAGAACATCATCATGAACCAGGACCCGGCACAGGCGTACGCCAGCAGCCCGTCCTCCCAGACCCGCGCCGAAGGTTCGTGGCGCACGGCGAGGTAGTAGGCGATCCTGCACGGCACGCAGGCCAGCAGCAAGAAGTTCGAGACCAGGAAGATGAACTTCGGAGCGTCACCAGCCTGTTGCAAAATTATAAGTTTTTAGTAGTTTTTCCTTGTGCAAATGTCAAGTGAATATGTACTAATTTCTTCGCAGAAACCGTGATTTTTGGGAATTCATGGAAGAAAGATTAAAGTAATCCCTGCACAAGACATAAACTGCGTTTGCAAAGTACAAACATTCCGATACACTGTAAATTCATGAGGTTCTAAGCCAATTGATGTTCAGCATAAAAATCCACAATTCACAGCTTCGAACTATTAGGCTATGCAGTGATTTTATAACAAATCTCACACCGTTGAAGTTTGAAATATTAAATAATTGTCTTATTATCAACATTATATAACATTGCTTGAAATTAATTTACTTTGGTTTGAAGGCCTTATTGATTTTTAAAAAACCCGTTGGGAAGGGCCTCAAGTTGACTTCCAAACTTCGACAACAACAAAGATTAGTTTATATGTTATATCTTCAAAAAAATAAAAACAGAAATAATCGAAATTTGCGAATTGATGGAAATTACATTTGACAAACATGAACTTATTTGAGAATCATTTTCTGTTATGAAGCCACTTTCTTGAAGACCATAATCCGATTCGGAAACCAACAGTAATTGTTCTATTATACACCTTTAACAACATACACCTTCCTATTCTGGTTGTACGGAAGCACAACACGGATGAGAAGATAGCAGATCTGTGAGACAATTTCCCGAGGGCATCCCTGTGGAAACTTTGTGAATAAATACGAACGCAATCTGGGGTCCGTGAAACATCATTGAAAAATGCACGGCATTAATTAGAAGAAGGCTTGACGAGTAACACCCAACGGAGGAATGTTCCAGGAATAGATCGAAATTTTATAAAATTTTCAAGAAGTCGATGGAAAAATTGCCTATTTTTGTTTTAAATGCTTCGAAGCAGATAAAAAATATGCAAAATACTGGTGCATTTCTTAGTTATTTCAATTTTTTTAATATTTATGTGCCAATAAACTGTAATGTCCAAATTATGTGGCGCAACTTTCTTTGCAAACATAAGCAAAAATAATTCTTTAGCGAGTTTTCAACATCTATTAAAAATACAGTAAACCCATATGCATGGTAATAAATTGTTAAATCCATTTTAATTTATGAGATTAATTTCTTTTTCTGTTTCCCAAGTTATGAATTCGTTACCTATTATTCTAAATGTCAAGTTATATTTTATTCATTCGGTTGCACCAGATACGCAATTGGTCTTATTTTTCTCCAATTCTGCTGCGGGATTACTTTACTAGATTAACGTCCAAACTAAATTTGCCATAAAATCCATGTGCAATCAATTGAAGAACAATTTAAATGAGAATAGATATACGTATATATGTAATGACGAAATCAATAACCGAACACAATTGTAAATTGATAGAACCACATTAGCAGATTTACAGCTATATTTGTAAAAATTCCAAAAGTGAAAGTAAAAAAAGGTGTTTTACAGCGTACAGGTAAATAAGTGTTATTGATTATATTTTTTAGCTTGAAACGTGTATTATTTGATTTCATTATTTTATTATTTTTTCTTGATAAATTATTTATTATTTTTTTATTTTCTTTCTTAGAACAGACTTTATCTCTATTTTTCTATTTCAGAGTTTTTCTCATAACATGTTTGTGTTCGGCGGCAATTGTCGTGTCATGAATTCTCAACTGACAAATAAAAAGAGTGAGCTGAAGTTGGCCTGGGAGGTTCTCGGGATTATAGGTGCAGAAAGAGGTTCTCAGAGCACCATAAATTCTCCATGGAATGGTTTTCTTACCGCCACCGAAAATACGAAGACAATTTTCAGTAGTGGTCAACAGTCTAAGAGGAGCTAAGCGAACATACGCTTGACATGTTTGAGAAAAAGTTTTGGGGTTTTAAACATCCGTGCTTGAATATTTTGAATTTTGATTTTTCAATCTACGGGACATGTCGCTTGGTAGGATTTTAGAATATTTATAATTTTCTATGTAAGCTTCAAATTCCCATTTCGTTTTCTAGCACCAGTTTTTGAGTTCTCTAATCCAGCGATTACGTTTTAGATTCACAATACCTGATTGTTCTGGACGTATGAAAGATAGAGTACAGGCATTGGTCCTGCAGACAGTTTTTTTTTAATTTTTGTCTTTCATTAATTGCCTTACAAAGAAACATGCAATTAACTACTTAATATTAGTGTAGTTAGGCAGAAGTTCTTCATTTATACAGGTTTGGTTGAAGACCAGAGCGTAATTTTTATTTACGATTTTCTTATTGTTCTTTTCGATAAGCCGAACGAAATTTCTAGCTGGAGCTTGGAGATCAAAAAGTAGATTACCGAATGACATTTTATTGCAGTGCGACGTTTCGAGAATTCAAGAATTTGATCATGAAAAACAACCCATGTAAAAAGTCCGGGCCGCTACAAGAAACCAATGTCGTTTACAAATTTTCCTGTATGAAAGAAGGTTGTAGACTTCTCCAAAATGTAAATTACATCGGTTTGACTAGCACGACATTGAGCCGTACCATATGCGGGAGGCCCACAACGAGACCATCACCCGTGCCACGTTGGAGGCCTGCACCAGCATCGTCATGCGGTGCCCCGACACTACGAGACTGTTGATAGCGGAGGCTCTCATCATTAAGGACGAGTCTCCTGCTATCAATTTGCAAACCGCGGGATTCGTCAAGACGTTGAAATTATTCTCGGATTAATTTGATTTTCGATTTTGAACCGTATCTACAATACTTTTTGTATGAACTTATGTCATATCCAAATCTCAATTTTTAGCGTTGTAATAACTGTTCACTTGCTTGATAATGAATATTGATGTATTCGAAACGCCGCACTGCAATAAAATGTCATTCGGTAATCTACTTTTTGATCTCCAAGCTCCAGCTAGAAATTTCGTTCGGCTTATCGAAAAGAACAATAAGAAAATCGTAAATAAAAAGTACGCTCTGGTCTTCAACCAAACCTGTATAAATGATTAACTACTTAATCCACACTTCAAGGAAATAAGTTTTATTTTACATAGAGAAATATTGCTGCTATTTTTCAATAAGATCAAGAAATATTCACCAGGCCCTTCATGAAGGACTTAAGTCCTTGATTCTTGATCTCCTCGCCCTGCTGCACGAAGGTGTACCATATGACCCCGACGAGCGTGAGCGCCTCGAAGCAATAACGTACGATGTTGGTCGAGTCCACCGCGAAGAATTCCTCGTACAGATGCTCGTACATCTCCGGCGAGTCCTGGGTGTGCAACGTAGCAAGATAATATTCTTGCAGGGAATATTACATTTAATAATCTCTCTGATAATGTGCTGAGTAGTATTTTGAGGGGAACCCCTAGTACAGATGTAAGATTATATGCGAGTGCAAGAAAAATATCCTGGCTCTGAAAATTGCACACAAGAATACACTCTCCAAAAATGAGCTAAGTAAGTGATTATTGAGAGGAGTTCGTCGTTAACTTTTATTACGACAGTCAAAGCAAAACGTACGAATTGATGGAAAGTAATTTATTTCAATTTGATTCAAATTAAATGTGTCACGGGTAAGCAAAATATTTTTATAAAGGAAAAAAAGCAGCTTGCTTCAATTCTATAGTCGACTTTTTTAATAGTCATTTCAATATGAGTAATGATAGTCTAATTCCTGTTTCATTTCTGACAGCTATTGAAAAAATGTTACTAAGTTCTGAATTAATTCTAAACAACGAATCTCTGTGTTTCGATTTTGTTGTAATAAATTTCTCTATAATATCCTGGAAGGAGAGGAGGTCACAACTTTCAGTTCAAACTTGCAATGTTTACCAATTCTGATCTTCGATAATTTCACGTTCATCTAAATCATTCTATAGTTACTTTATTCTTTTGAAGAACAAAGTTCTCATGAATAGCAGGATCCATTTACAGTAATCTACAGCCGTCAAATTCAAAATTTGTTCCGAAACATTTCAATTTTGGATGTAATCTGTTGACGTAATTGAGCGGACGTCGGTCTTACGAGCGTCACAGACACAGGGATGCAGTAGCAGGGCCGCAGGTAGATGGTCGTGCTCAGAGTCACCAGCTGCAGCAGCATGATGACCAAACGCTTCAGAAATTGGTTCTGCCCATAAACAATGGAAAAATTTAATAGAAGATTTATAACAATTTTTTCCTATGCTTGTTTGCAATGTAATATTACTCTTGCAGACTGTTTCCTGAAATCAAATGTTATTACTTTCCTAGTCGCTATGGATCTAAGGGAAATGCCTTACAGTCCGTTTAAGATGTCATGCTTGATCTTTTTGAAAGCCAGGTAATACGCAGGTATATAGATAATTTTATTTGTAATACGTAGTCAAAATGCTCAGAAATTAAAACAAATAGCTGTTAGTTTATTTATAATTGATTTGATTATAATTGGTTAAGTCGACAAGTTTACGCAAAGAGTTTCAACCTTCGCATGTTGATCCACAGAAATAGAAAGTAATAATTTTTCCGAGGAATAAATATTTGTTGTGTGCGCCAGAGCAGAACTGGCCCTGTAATGGCAAGCTTGACGACGACGTTGTCGAGAATTTCCTTCCGGTGAAACAAAAGGACGGACGAGACGCTCCGTTGCTCGCTGCCCAATTGTCAAGATGGAGGCAATTGCTGCTCCTGATAAGAAAGGTTGGTGAGCGAGGAAAATTTTTCTCAATCTATTTTCAGTTCCCCGGTTTCAGTCGTTGGGTGTCACGTAATTTTTTATTATCACTGCTTGGACACAATTTGAGCGTTTTTAGACTTTGTAATGGAAGCCGCGCAGTTACATTTTACAGTTATACAGTTATGAGTCGTCGAATTATTATCAGAATCTAGCATTACAATTGACTCGACAGATGTTAGATAAATTCAATGCTCTATCACAACCTTCCAACCTGGCCACTTTTTCATAAATACAGAGCATTTTTTTCGTCCCTATGCTTGCGCAAGTGTTCTGGAAAATATGGTAGGTACCTTATTATCATAAAAAAATTACATAAAACAGATATGAAGGGAAAAATATTCAAGTTTTTTTCTAACTCAACAATAGGCATCATCCACGAGGCAATTAATGAAATGCTGAGAGAGATATTTTTTGAAAAGTGCTTCTAGATAAACTTTGCGTTCATTATTTTAAATCAACTTTGCGAATACTAATTCGAAATGGATTCCTTGTGACAATATAAAGAAGCCTCGAATTCTGAAACAACGTGTTTCTGTTTTTCTTTATTTGTGCCTTAGTATTATTGTTTGTCATAAGATATACTCGTTTGCCCTATATATATAATACCAGCATCACTCACTCGAGCAAAAGTCTTCCACTTCTCCTCGAGCAGGCGCTGGATGATGCCTCCCTCGAGCATATCAAGATGCTCGGCTTTGGTTCCATTGAGGATGATCATCAAAGCAGAGTTCCAGTCTTTGGAGGAGACAGGAGTGGAGCAGCATTGTCAATTAAATTCATATCGCTTATAAACTTAGGATTCATGTTCAGAATTGATTGGCTTGCTTCTGAACATTTCACACATACTGGATAACAGGTAGACTGATGGAAATGTCGTGTTTCCAAAACACAAGCAACATTATTATTAAAAAGTATCGATAATGGGTATTATCAATAAGACCGTGAAAATAGCGTTATGTAGTATTTGATGACGGCTTAATATAGGCTGGTCGCGTGCCAATGGTTAGGCCTCCTAATGAAATTACGAGATGAAGACATATCTGGTGTCGTACCTGCGTGTTATTAATCAGATCTCTTAGTCAGAGACTACCAATAGTTCTTGGCTCTCAGAAATTACAGCTGAGACGTCAGGTATGTCAATTTTCTTCCATTTATTATTTTCGGGGGTAATTTGCATGTTGCTTTGACTCAATTACTGTTCTGAATTTGGGCACAATAAATCTTTTGAATTTTGACGGAGTTGTTGTTTTGAATAAATTATCCCACATAAAAAAATACGTTCGAGTATCGCCAGAACTCACTTGTCTCGCCACTGGGCTTGATGGTGTCCAGTGCGTTGAGAGGATACGCACTGCACGTGATGTTCGAGTAGCGCCAGAACTCTATGCACGTGAGCTCAAGCATCTCCTTGAAGATGGTGGAGCGCGCAAGCCGACAAGCCAGCGTCAGAGGAGTCAAGCCAGCAGCGTTCATAATGCCGTCTTGTGCTGGCATGCGTGGGTGGCGTAAGGCGTAGCTGAACATGCCCTGGCGCATTAAATTCAAGTTTTAAACTCAATTTATACGTTATTTATAATTATTTAGAAGTCATTTCGAATGTTAACCGATATTGTTTACGGTACTATTCAAATCACGGTATCAATTGGTTGAATCCAATGTGATTTTGATGAAAATGTAGTGTATATAAACTAAAAATGATCAGAAAATTAAGCTATACAACAATACATCTTCCTCCATTTTATTTATATATGTATTCTTCCGAAATTTACCTCAAATTCCAGAAAAGTTCAATAGTAATTAATTCTGATATATGGCACTCAATTGAGCGCCAAATATTCGAATTAATGAGCAACTTGCGTCAATGTTGCACTCACGAGTTGGTTGCAAACGACCACAAATTCCAGCAAAGTTCAACAGTAATTAGTACTGAAATTTAGCACTCAACTGAGCACCGAATATTCGAATTAATGAGCAGCTTGCGCCAAGGCTCCACTCACGAGTTGGTTGCAAACGACCACCATGTGCAGAATCATGTTGCCAAAAGCGTCCTGCAGGTTAGGGTCAGCACCACAGTCAATAAGTTTGTTGTACACCGTCTCATTGCCGAGACACGCCGCCCATGCCAGCGGCAGCTCGCCCAGGTACGCGAGGCCTTCGTAGTCCGAAAACCTCGGCCCCTTCGGACGCTCTACTTGCTGGTCTGCAGGCAGGAAGAAACTCCCTTGCGAGAGAAATGAAAATTAATGCCATGATTTCTTTGATTATTAAATAGGGATTCTGCAATAAGTAAAAAAAAAATAATTATCATTGCATGATAAAAAATCTTCTTGTGCGAGAGAAATGAAAATTAATGCCGTGATTTCTTTGAATCTTAAATAGGGGTTCTGCAATAAGTAAACGAAATAATTATCCGTGCATGAAAAAAAACTTCTTCTAAATTCTAGAAAAAATGAAAATCTCCTCTTTTAAAAAGGTTGTTCCTCATTTGTATCGCTTGTTTTATGCTACGAAAATATATCGACTGGAAACTCGAAGGAAGTTTGAAGGAAGTTTTTTTTAGGGCCGAAGGAAGTTTGATCTTTCTTCTGATTGACTTGTACTTCTGGACCGCTACACACTATAGGAGTCCAGTGAAGAGGATATTGGCATCGCAAAGTTGTTTCAAGAAAGTAATTACCAAAGAGAGCCCCTCGAAGGCTTTGAAAGAACCTTCTATGTTCAGTGTTGGTGGAGACAATATTTTCATCTTTTTAACTGACAGATCACTCTTTTCGGCACAATTTCTCTCTCTTTCTTAACTCACTCTTTTCGGCATAGCATAATATAACTTAAATGTTACGTTTTTCGGCGTTTAAACGTAGAATGGTTAGCATTAGAACGTGATTACCAAACACTCTTCCAGCTTATAAATTCTAACGGTTCAATGAGTTTGTTCAAGAATGTGTTACTGTTTTTTTAAAGCCTGGCTATATAACTAAGAGAGGCTACATTGGGGCGCGTATCCAGGATACTTATCGTGCCACGACACGATCGTACTTGGATCTGAATTTTTTGAATTTTGTTCCTAGCGAACAATGCACTTCTTAGTTAAAGTTAGTGAAATTTGTTTCTTAGTTAAAGTTAAATCATTTATGAATGCTATGAACGCATTGCTAAAGCATTTATATCAAGAGGAAAGGTTGGGGATGTATGTGTTTTTAATTGATAAGGTAGATTGATTGATTCACTAAAAATTTCAACTTTCTCAGCGCTTCTAAACCAAGGGGTTAAATGAGAATTTTTTCTTAACAAAGTGTTTCGAAGGTTCCGTGCTTAACATTATTTTATTTAATTTTAGCAGCAGAAAAAAAACGACAAAGGAATTCGGGTAACGGGATTCTGAGGAACGGGAATCTGGGTAATGGGAATCAGTGTAATGGGCATCGGAGTAAGGGGAATCTGGGAAATGGAAATCGGAATAATGGGAGTGTCGAACATGGGAGGTAGAATAATCCCAGATAGAGTAGTCACTTTCTTTAATTAAGAAAAATAAAAATTACAGATAATTGAATTTAGTAAACTAATAAATTGAATGTGATAAAGCAGCAAAAAGCTATAAAAAAATTGTTCAGTCTGGAGGTCGCATTTTATGGCATATAAAACTGATGTTTCGATATAGATTAAAAATGTTGTGCGCAAATACGCCAGGAAAAAGGAGTGCAAATTTTTTATCCCTACCAAAACTCGGCTGTGATTGCAAGCCTCCGTTAGACTGATTACGAACGACATGCCGGTTAATCAACGACAAGGATAGACGTGGACACGCGAGGCTCTTATCATGATACGGCAGATTAAAGGGCCCCGCTGTTAGGAATTTGTTTCGAACGTTTCATTAGGAATCGCACGGCTTGAAGCAACTCAAATCAGCTAATTCCAGAAGCTGTGAAAGAAAAAATATTTCTCATGTTAGGTAAGGTTTTAAATGAAAATACAGGCTAGTGAAAACCGTCGAGTTCAACTTGATCGGCTAGAAAATTCACGTTGAAAAATTTTTAACCATTACGCTAAATTGAAGATCAGTATTCGTTTAATCTTTGTGAGTAATCTGGAATCCTCATTGCGAAATAATTTCGAATATTTAGGGTGTTTTCTATAGATACTTGAGCAAACTTTTAATAGGTTTTAATTGAGTTTTAATTCATTCATTCATTATTTTCCAATGAATGTACAATGTATATCCTTTCAGCTATATTAAGGAAAAAATACTTGGAATATCTCATTATTATGATATTAATGACAATCAACAAAGAAGCACTTCTATATTAAAATTGCCGGTATATTTTCACGACTGACTCGTCGACTCAAACGAAGGTAATAAGTCTTCTCGCACCCTCCTCACCCCGTCCTTGTCGCTGCCGGTTGTGAAAAGATCCCCCTGAGCCTTCCAGTAAACTAAAACGCACACAAAATACATCGATATTCGCTCCTAGAACGTCATGAAGGGGGAAGGATCTGCTCGTCGTATTGTAGGACTTTAGTTGTTGCCTTCGTTGCTTGCGCTGCATGACAATGATGCTCTGAATGGGGCGGCAGCACTGCAATTTCATCTTGAGCCCTTCAATTGATTTCATTTACATTTGTTACTCACGAAGGGATATAAGTTTGAGCTTAAACGCACCCATAGAAGTTAGAGTTTAATTTAATATCTAATAGAGGCTAAATAACAAAATATTTAAAAATACCAGCAAAAATTATGTTCTTAATTGGAAAAAATAAACTCTGGCGATGGTTGTGAAGTGAAAAAGACCACAATAATAATTTTTTAATATTGTTTATTTTTTTCAGCGTCTATATGAATGGAAATGTTAAAATAGGAAATTTCAAGTTTCTTATGATATTGCTTTATGCAACACTGACAATGAGGAAACTAAGCACAACTCAACCTTAAATGAACATGCTCAATTGTACCTAAAAATAGCACCAACAACCAATTAGATATTTCTCTATCACTAACAACTCCCGTATGCACGTCAACGCTGCACTCAACAGGATATCAGCGTAACACTCACGACTGACCAACACCACAACACTCACGACTGAACGCACCTATGGCGCGCTGGTTGATGTTAGCGCCGCACCGGACTAGGACGGTTACGAGGTCGTTGTTGTGGTAGGAGATGGCGAGGTGTAGGGCGCTAGCACCTACCAGGTCAAATATCAGCTCAAAATAATATTTATAAATGAATCTTTACATTACAAAGTTTTAAATGAATGAAAGCTGTAATTTCGTAACTTTCGTAATATGGATCAAGTTCGATAATACCACAAGTTGTTTCCGAATTCGGTGCTTTTAATATTCGATATACACGTTACTAATCGTGTCTTCGAGTTGATGTATATCGCTCATATTTCTACTTTTGAGCTCCAAAATCTGCTTTCTTCTCAACCAACGGCATGATTAAAATAAACAAGCTCAGAGTTGTGGTCATGCAGTAATGCTTAACATGAAATTTCACAAAAAAAGAAAATGCAAAATTCATAATATTTCCTTTCACGGTAAACTATAAGGTTACTGAAACACCCGAATTAATTGCAAATGACTGGATGAAGTATTTTAATTAAAAAGGCCTTAACTCACTATTGAAACTTCTAGATTTTCTAACAAAAACATTAATGGATTTTAGACATTATTCCCTTTGTTTTTAGTGAGGTATTGTTAAAAGTAATAAAAACAATTATACGTTAATAATCAAAATTATTGTACAAATTTATGCCAAGACTAGAATGAGGTAAATGACTATATTTTAGCAACTGTAAGTCATGGTAATAAACCGTGTAAGTGTCGTTCATTGAGGCACGCAGAAACAAGTTTAATTTACCTAATAAAAGCCGAAATCGCCTCCCGAACTCATCCGAAATATTGTAAGTATCAAGACTCACCAAGGTATTCCTCGCCCTCCACCACATCCAGCGCCAGCTTCGGGAAGCATTTCAGCAAGATCTTGGCGACTCTGGTGTGAGCCTTCGTGTCGCACATGATGAGCACATGCAGCAGCGTCTCTCCCAGCGACCCGCGGTATTGCATGCGCCAGCAAGCTTCGTGGTCACTCCACTTACGCAGAGGGTCGAACGGACTCTTTGATTCCATCTGCACCAGCAGCTGAAATGATGAGTGAACAGTGAATGAAAACTAGTGCGATACTTTCATCTGCACCAGTAGCTGAAATGATCAGTGAACAGTGAATGAAAAGTAGTGCAATACTTTCATCTGCACCAGTAGCTGAAATGATCAGTGAACAGTGAATGAAAACTAGTGCGATACTTCCATCTGCACCAGCAGCTGAAATGATCAGTGAACAGTGAATGAAAACTAGTGCGAAACTTCCATCTGCACCAGCAGCTGAAATGATCAGTGAACAGTGAATGAAAACTAGTGCGAAACTTCCATCTGCACCAGCAGCTGAAATGATCAGTAAATGAAAACAAATTCCATGATTTCATCTGCATTAGCAGCTGAAGTAATGGGCAAATATTGAATAAAACTAGTGCAATTGTTACATCTGCACAAGCAGCTAAAGCTCAGAAATGAAATTTCAAAAAAATTCTCAGATTCTGTTTACAGGAGCTACAGATGTGCGACCGGATCATGAAACGAATCAGGCTTTCCAATTCATTCAAAAGCTACAAATTCTTACATCCAATCTACGTCTTTCGAACAGAAAATAATTTTAAAATTGACATCACTCTTGACATGTACCTGCATCGTCGGCTCACGGGCGTATGGAAGGATAAAGATGAACTATTCATCGAGTAATCGAATTTTTCCTATGATGTTGATGATGATTTTCAGTGAGCGTCTCCGTGACGCACACTGAGCGGCAAGGCTCTTCAGAGTTATAGTCGTCAGAACGAGTCAGTAGTTCGTATATCGTGCTAACTCTGGTGTGCATGTGGATTAATGCGTCATTCGATCATCTTACTGTTTATTTAGTTTGGTTACTCAATTATTTTTGTAGGAATTTAATTATTCCTCCTCACTCCTTGCTTAATTTTAAAGATAGACGGTTTTTTGTGGCTTTTTTTCAAGGTTCAATTATATTGAAATCGGTGTAAAGAGAATGTGTCGCTTGATTGAAACCAAAATAACATTCTTACAGGTGCGCTGAGATGCAATTTACTTTATAAAGTTTATAATTTAGAATCGAAGTTACAATAGTTGAGGCCATGACTACCTTTTTTTAGATGTTAGAATATATAATAAGAAGAGGTTATATTCAGCAGTGACTGACTGTTGGCAATGATCGAAGATCATAATCCTCGTGTACGAAAATTCTGTGAAGTTCACGTTCATGAAGATTAGTGAAATGTTAATTTTCTTTGTTTATAATTCAGTGCGCTATTATTAATTATAATTATATTAAAAATTACTTTGAAATTTAAAAAATTCGTAATTTCATAAAAATGTAAAAATTCATCATCGAAAATAGATTGAAAGCTGTGAAAATTTCACGCATTTCTTCTAATTTCTTTGGTTCAGCACAAAGCTACAAACTACATGACCAATCAAACACGCCAATACTTGGAAAGTGACTAAATTAACTATTTTAATTCAAGGAGTCTTAACTCTACACCCGTCCTTCAGAAAGTAACTTGAATTCTTCGACGATTGCATGTAAAATTTTTGCATCCGACGCCGATAAATTCTTTCTACATTGAGACGCAAACTGAAGGCTAGGTACGTACTTGGGCAATAATCGGCATTATAATATAAGCACGAGATCTGTCGCAGGTTAATATGAAGAAATATCCTGTGCTGACGTGAACAGGAAACGTGTTCAAGAGGCAGGAAGCTCGAGCAGATAGCTACTTAAGATGATCGTTGTTACAGCGACAAGTCTGCCAGCTTTAAGAAGCTTTTAGCAAGGCTGTATCTCTCAAGTTCTTTATTGTGCCGTTAGGTGGAAATAGCAGGATCGCTTATCTACTGACATTTTTATAAAGAATATCTATTTCCCTTGCATAGTCATAACACTGGGGTGGCCCAGTGGTTAAGGTTCAGAGTACCAAGGTTGGAGCAGAGAGGCGCGGGTTCGATCCCAGCTCTGTGCGCTAGTTTCTGGTCAGAAGCGGCAAGGAGGCCGGGCGGTTAAGCACAGCAGAATTGGAGCAGTGAGTTGCGAGTTCGAGACCGCAAAATGCCGTGAATGTTCTGCGATGTTAAGAATCGGCGACAGGCCTACGGCCTAATAACGCTGAAACCGCTATTATTATTATTATTATTATTATGATAGTCCATTATAGCATAATTATTAGGGTAACGTGGGGCAGCGCGCCCCCAACTTTTTTTAAACTAAATTTTTGATGAAGTTTTAATTGATACGAGGTGGTTCTTTGTTTTGTTTAAAGGTGCAACTAATGAGGAATGTATGATGTGAATTAAACGCCTATAGAGTTATTCGATTTTTAATGAAACACTATTTTGTAAAAAGTGTCAAAATGGGCCCATTGCCCCACCCCTGGGGCAATGGGCCCATGGGCTTGGGGCAAGGCGCCCACCCTTGTAAAAAACTTTATTTAGCGGCAAAAAAATTTTTATCTGGACTAAAACAGTTATTCGCAAAGAACTTAATAACGCAAATATTTAGCAAAACGTAAATCCGTACACTTCATCCCAGTGAAACTGCCGACCGGCGGTAGAGAACACGGACCAATATCTGCCATACTTAGCGAGAAACCCGCTATGGGCCCGTGACCCGCAGTGGGCTCGCTGCCCCATGTTACCCTACATTACATAATACCAACCGAGAAACTTCTCAGTTATATTTATGATCATAGTACAGTAAAATTGAAACTATCGTTAAGTGTAAAATGTCACTGGTGAAGATAGATATTGTGAGTTCCTAATAGCGCTTTTTTAGCTCTGTACGATAGTTGCTTATCCGGTTGCACGTAGAAATGAATTGAAAGTAAGAACTGTGCTTCCGTTAAACTGACGTACAATTATTCTTTTGGTTTCAGGTATGAAGTAAATTTTGTTCCGCACAATGTATGTTGTACTAGCGCACTAAATTGCATTACTAGAAAATTAGATTTTACGGACAACGATGATAGTAAACAAAAACTAATATTTCAGGTAAAAAATACAAACTTTCTATCAATTTAACTCCGTCTCAAAGTTTTGGCAACTAGTCATAATCTAATATAATACACGGAAGGTACGCTTAATTATATTGTAGCCTTATTTTGGAGATCAATTATTTATTTTGAGATTACCGTATGGCAATATCTGCTAGACTAGTAGTTTGTGAATTCGAAATTTCCTTGTTGTCCACCATTCATGTGGCTGTCACTTTACTTGTTGGAAATATCAAGTTCAAATTACATGTTCATTCACTTAATCGTTCTTTACTAGCCTATGCGTTCCTAAGTACTGGTAATTATTTCATTGATTATCTGCTATCTATTTTCTATAACCTGGCAAGTGTTTCTATTATTGTGTATACATTTTTCTATGCTTGCACAGATTTATTCAATAATTGCACCTTGTTTGTTTCTTCCGGATTAAACCACCGAAGCGAACCTAGTACATGATTATTGAACCTCCTCTTTAACTTAGAGCTCTGCATTGTGAGGTAGGAACTACGTAATGCTGAACCGTTCTAAGTATAGCGTCTTGTGAAGAAGACGCTGACTAATACTGTAGTACAAGACTAATAAATACCGCATGAAGAAAGGGTGCTACTTCTTCTGAATCTAACTTTTTTAAAATCTTAATTATCATCATGGATCAAATTTTTATTAACAATAAAATATAAGCACCCCAAGCTTCTTGAATGCATTTGTTCCATCGGTGAAAATACCAAGGTCTTCTTACTTGATCTTTGGGGACACTCCTGTACTTCCACTTGAGGAACTCCGTCCTAGTGACTTCCATGCCTCGGCCCCCGTTGTACATGAACACCCCGAACTCTTCCAGCACAAGCTTCTCCACCTCGCGACCTCCACCGCGGGCGTATTCTTCCAACAGCCGTCCACCTGTCGCAGCACGAGCAGTCGGGTTAAAGTCAAAACATTAGTGAAAATGAGTCTTCCTATATAATTAATATATAATAATATATTTTTTAATGAATATATTACGCTTTCCTACTTGTATAGTAAAGTTTCTTGAAAGCTGCAACAGGCTTGAGCCGCAGTAATATCTTGAACCCAAATGAATACTCTTACATGCAGCACATTTGATTTCTTCTGATGATCGTATTAATGGAGTGGATTGGCTCAGGAAAAACAAAATGCGATATTGCAACTAAAAAGTTCCCAGTTGGAGCATTTTAAACTTTTAAATTTGTAATTTAAGCAAAATTAATACATAAAAATTCACCTTTGCGGTAGTCTGCTAGCTTGTAGAGCACACAGTCGTCCTGATCAGCCTGGGAGATGACGCGGTCTAGAGCTGCTCCAGGGTTGATGGCCGCCCCCCGGCGGTGACACACAGGCATCGCAGTCGTGATTTATGAACAGGTTTAGTTTTTAATAACAAAATATAACCATTTTTCTCGATGCCGTAATTGTTACGGCGCTCACGCGGTGTTCCAGCGTTGCCTGGGACTGCTACGTCCGAAAATGGCAATTAAGGGTGAGATAAACCCAAAATTATTCTCAGTACCACATTAATACCATTTGCGTACAGATGAAAAAATAGTAATATCTGAGTTTGCTATTAATTTCTTTCTGTTTGGGGAGAGAAACTTTACTGTAGTTATTTTCCTATCCTCTACAGAGGGTAGGAATTGTCATTTTGCAACTTCATTTTGTTTCAGTTCTGATAGATCCTTTGTTTTCAGAAAAACTGTTCATTTTTCATTACACTCTGAGTTAGTTTCTTTAGCTCAATTCCTGATCTCACAAACTAATCTGTCCATGTATATCAAACAACTACATGTAAATTTTGCCAATTTATGTTTTGTAGATTTGCGGTTTACTTTTTTACAATTTACCTTACCATTATATATATACTTGCCAGATCAAAAATGTTCGAAAAATATGGATTCATGTAGAACATATTGAAGCTATTCAAGTGAAAAATTACTATTCACTATCACGCATGAGTAATATAACTGATTTGTTTGACGTGATTACTAATCGCACTTGAGGCAAGAATTAATATTGCACATGATTTATTCGTAATTGATGCAACTCAAACCATTTGCAGCTGCCTGTATAAACTCATCAATACAACGATTTATAGTGCAGATTAGTCACTATATACCGTTGATTAGACGCTATATAAAATTAGAGACTATTCAAAAATGATTATATAATATATTATTAGACACTATATAAAAATGGTGAGTCTAGACATAGCCTTTGAGAATGTTTCTGATGTAGTTTCCAGTTATGTTTCATGTTCAAAACAATTCAGATCAGACTCACAGAATAAAAGATTTTCCGTTCCATGGCAATGGCTGAATAGAACAGTAAGTTATTTGTATATTTTCAACTCCTACAAGCAATGCACACTCGATATAATTGTTTATAGGCAGAAGAAGTTCTAAATCCCGAAGCGCTGGTATCCTAGGAAGCGCTTGGTTGCTATGGTGACCCCAAATACAGCGACGCCGTTGCCATGGAGATCTAAATAACGCGTTATACTTCAATGCGACAATAGTATTAATTTACGTGTCTTCATACTCCTGATTATTTTTTATCAGACTGGATAAAATTTTGAAACCACAATCAAAAAGATTGGGTGAACTAATGGACAAATAATATACTTTATTGAATAGATATCATTCTTCGACGCTACTGGGAAATAATAAAGTGAAGAATCTAATTAATTTTCATAGAAGAATAGCACGAAATAATTGTGGAATCTTCACGATTGTTATTCGATTTCTCAGTTTCTAATACATAATAGGACTATCGGATAAAATACATATGGTTCAAAGTAGGGTAAATTTCATGGCAAATATTGGGGTATTTTTGGTTGGACTTCGGCGTTCGGATTCAAAGCCTTGCTGCCTTCAAACTAAGAAGAAATTTTGACGTGATAGGTGCCCAATGTAGACGTGAAGAACCGGGTATAGGTAGCCGGCGCATGGTGAAGAACCGGGTCCTCAATAGCGGAAGAAGAACACGTGACAGGTGTGTTGAATTGTTGAACAATGAGTGTGTTGTACTGAGCTGCTGCGTGCTAACGCGTGTGGGCGGAAGTTTCCGGAAGCGATGGCGACGACAGTTCTGTTCTGCTCTGAGGCGTTGAGCCGTAGCGGTGCTTGTGTGTACACCGACCGTTTCTTTCACTGATCATCACTCACGGTCCAAACAAATTTTTAATGGCATCACTTCAATCTGTTCATGTTCCTATTGTACATGATGCCGTCTACACTCAACTGCTGAATAAACGGCAAGGCAACCGAAGATTTCAGGCTGTCACTCAGGTGCGGTCGACCCCAGAAGGTGTTGTTGGTGCCCCAACGTGTTGTTGGTGCCCCCACGTGTTGTTGGTGCCCCCAGGCGTTGCTGGTACACCCTGGTGTTGTTGGTGCCCCCAGGTGTTGTTGGTGCCCCCAGGTGTTGTTGGTGCCCCCAGGTGTTGTCGGTGCCACCTGGTGTTGTTGGTGCCCCCCACGTGTTGTTGGTGCCCCCAGGTGTTGTTGGTGCCTCCAGGTGTTGTCGGTGCCATCAGGTGTTGCTGGTGCCCCCAGGTGTTGCTGGTGCCCCCAGGTGTTGCTGGTGTCACCTGGTGTTGCTGGTGCCCCTAAGTGTTGCTGGTGCCCCCAGGTGTTGCTGGTGCCCCAGGTGTTGCTGGTGCCCCTTGGTGTTGCTGGTGCCCCCAGGTGTTGCTGGTGCGACCTGGTGTTGCTGGTGCCCCCAGGTGTTGCTGGTGCCCCCAGGGGTTGCTGGTGCCCCCAGGTGTTGCTGGTGCCCCCAGGTGTGGTTGGTGCCAGAAGGTGTGGTTGAGCATCGTCTCAACCCTGACGTGGTCTCTACACTGGCCCTGTATCCGCCCGTTCTTGAATCCTAACTAAACTCGAGCTCTCGAACCCCCAAATTTTGTCAACATTCAGATAATTTTCCAAACGGTTCATCGGTTCATCTTCTTGCGTATCGCATGGTGTCAGAATCCTCTACAAAGATACTGAAATCATTCTACCGTTATTCATTGATTGAACCCTGCAGAAACTGCTACCAAGCAAAAATATTCGGCCTCTCTTCGAAGTAAACATTGTGGCTTTTGGGATCTACCATGTACTAGAGGTCCTAGGAGAGCATGGGTTCCGCTCTCCTTTCTGTTTGGACTTGGCTTGGTTCAGCAGTGTCCCGGTGGCTGGTGCTGCCTACTGCACTTACGAGAGTATCATAGTTTGCAGCCAGGAGATAACTCCTATAAGAGGAATAGCCAAAAATTCTTACTAATTGCCCCTCCAAATCTCTGCTCGCCGTGGTAAAAGCCAGCCGCACGTTTCATAAATCGGAAAATCGCAACCCCTTATAGTTTATTTGAAAAGGCGTTCAATTCGATGCCCGGCAGTGTGATGTGAATCTGGCGTTACACCCCCTACCTGTCGGACATCCTCTACATCGGACGCGATTACCATTTCTTAGGACTTAAATGCCTCTGACGCCTCATGACATATATTTCCCGTACGACCCGAGAGCTGCGGCGAAATGAGAGGTCACGACTTTTTTCCTCTCCTTTCTGGATTCTCAACGAGGACTCGCCGATGCGTCGCCTGCCAAAGACCACAACTGCCCTGGATGTAATGGACCATCATGATTCCTGCCTTCCGGAATGTAGCCTTCAACACTTCTGGACTATCATATCTAGGCCGTGGGTCGAACCAGCCCTCGGTCGAACGGCCACTCGTTGAAGGACGATAAATTTTGGAACAGAATTATGCTATCTGAAGCCCAACTTCAGATGCGATGAACGTAAAATTACGTAATTAAACGATGCCCGGAAGGCATATTCGATGCGCGGCCTGGTGGTGTACTGCAGGTTTTATGCAAGGCCGGAGGAGGACAGAGCCGAGTGGTTCACGGCTGATTGGTGGATGTCCGGAGAGATCCAAGGTGTTCGATTCAGGGCTTATTGGTGTACAAAATTGGTGGTGCACGGCTGCGCTCCCCTCGCCGACCCGCCTTCCGACCCACGGCCTTGCCGCCTTACCTAATCTATCCGGAATTAGAGCCCTCATGCTCTTGGATACTCAATGGTCAACGCACGGTGCCTTCATGGTTGAACCAGTATAAAAGGTTGACCCATGTGAAGCTCATTTTGCGGATGTGTTTGTTGTTCGCCTGTGACGTAATTGATCTCAGTGACGTCACGGGCATTAACCATTCACCGAAATGCGATCAAATCAGTCAACCAATCCGTCATGGGAATGACGGGTTTGTTTACGTTTCTCGATCTCAGTGACGCAACAAGAAAGCTGAACTGAAAGACGGAAATCCTCGTGGGCCAACCTTATATAATTCAACCATGCGGTGCTGCCCTCAACTCTGACCACTTTCCCATCCTGATCTCGCTCCATCAGTCTGCTCCCACCGCAGCAGCCCGGTTCGCCTGCTCATTATTCAACTGCCGCGATCCGGATTGGAGGCGTGTGGAAGCGCAAATCTGTCACTCAAATGGCTATGCTTTGAAAAAATATTAGCTGGGAAACACTCATGAGTGGAGTGTTTGATTTTTATGTGGTTGCAAGGACTACTACACACAGGACATGCATAGCCTATGTCCAGCCTCTGCTAGCAGAGGCGATCGCCTACACTATAAAAATGCTGGTGTTTTAGTGGCATCAACAAATGATATGCCCATAATTGTTTCATACAATAGTATTACAATGTGTGTAGTAGTCCTTGGTCAGAACCATAGACTTTTTGCCAGTTTTGAAGTTCAAAATTTTGTACTAAGCAAAGTAGGTACCATTTTCCTGCCTTCATACACTGATAAGGACTACTACACACATTGTAATACTATTGTATGAAACAATTATGGGCATATCATTTGTTGATGCCACTAAAACAACAGCATTTTCATAGTGTAGGCGATCGCCTCTGCTAGCAGAGGCTGGACATAGGCTATGCATGTCCTGTGTGTAGTAGTCCTTGTGTGGTTGGCATTTGATGGTTGCAACAAATCAAAGGCACAAACACCGTCAACGTTATAGAACGAAGAAAGGCGTAAGAGTTACTGGACACCGCCCGTGCCAAACAAAATCTTCAAATAAATGGAACTCGGCGTTGGCGGCCAGTTTAATACTTTTTGAAAGGTTCTGGATACCATGGCTGTAATTTTGCCTTCGGGTGATTCAATAACTATTGAAATTGGTGACCAAGTCGGACTTTTTCCACAGAGTGTTCGTCGCTCAACAGTCATTCTCCGTGGTCCTACATGCAAGGAATCGCAAAGGCTTTTTGACCCTCAACTTCTGATTCAAACAATTTTTTTATACCCATTTTAACACCATACCGTTTACTGTACATTTTATTATTATTTATAATGACTTTCCATAGAATATCCCGTCAATATATCAAAGCAAATTTTCCTAAGATCGTTGCATCGAAGGAATTGTGTCCAGTTTTTCAGTCCAAGCAGCTCTACATGCGCTTCAGTCTATACTTCGAGTAGAACACGTGTCGTGGAGAGGATTTAGAGTAGAATCGGGCTCGAAAGGATGACGTCACGGCACCGAATCGCCAGATGCATTGTGGGATCGGCCGCCATATTTGTAGCAGGGTCTAGCTTTCGCCTCCGTGTTAAATCTAATGCGATCGTCTCTTTTTGAAGTTTTTGCTTGAAGATGGGACGCTACTGCACCGTTGTAGGATGTACCAGTCGTTCTCACGGCCATTTAAACAGAAAACTATACAATGGAATGCGTTTATTCAGTTTACTAGCCGTGAATGCCGTGTATATCGTATCAGTTTATGGCTCGTTCTGATATACGTATCGCATATCAGTTTACCAGCCGTGAATATTTATTATATACGATACTATCCATTTTCCAGGGGCAAAATCTGTTACTTGCCTTTAGATAAGCTACATAAGTAAGAATAAAACGTAATAATATTTACAGATCAGATAACATTTTCATGATCCATTATCCTGCAGCGATGATAGTGTTGTTGCAGTTGGCTGGTTTGTAGGTAGATCAAAATGATTCAATTTGTTCTATAACATCAAATGTTTCGAGTTCTTTACATTGCCTTTCAATTTCAATATAAATTGGTTTTGCAAAATGTCGAGGTTACTGGTGAATTAGTGTGTTGTTGGTCAGTTCTGTGGTCTGAGGTGTCATATAAGCGCGTCCAATATCGGGATCGGTATTATTATGAGCCGTCCGGACCCTGGTTACCTGGTAAGCATTGATAAAATTATATCCTTTTCCTCTTCAAAAAGGTGAAAAGGAATTTCATTTTCCATTCTTAGAAGGTTCCATTCATCAGCATCATTATCGCCGTCCAGTTGTACTACCAAACTAACTCTACCAAGTACATCGCCTTTCTTGATTCGTTGAAGTTTCGTTTCTCCATCGCCTGTACCCATCCATCCACAAATTGTTTGTAAGCTTCAAGCGTCTTGTATGCCTTGAATTCTTGCAAGGTGTATTGGCTGACCACCAAGCACCAAATAGTTTAGTAAATCACCGTGTTAAACGGGAGGCAGGCTTGCAAAATCTGCACAGCACGGCCGGCTTTGACGGCACTTCGTTGGCATCAACATCGTTAATGTCGAACAATTTTCTTAAATATCGGTCTCTCACTGAAGGAAGGAATTTTTGACAACGGCCTAATCCTTTCTGCGTTGTTCTTTCTTTCTCCATTGCTACCAAAACGTCCAAATGTGTACGAACGAAAGAGTAAGCTGAGGCACCAGGGTGATACAAAGATGGTGGCGTAGCAACGCGGCTAACGTGGATACGCGGGAGCTTGGCGAGCCCGATTATCGCGATTCCTGAATTGCTACTTCCTCTAGTCTAGAGCAAAATTATTCTTTACAGCAGCGTGAACAAAAAAAAGTCTACCTTTCCATCTTGCTAATCAGGTAATTACATCATTGATAGCTTTTGAATTAATTGTTAATACTAAAATTGTGAATTTCGGACCATTTCCTTCTTGATCATCAGTAGGCATCATATTCGTTAATTTCAGCGATTTTCACTATCAAAAATCAATAATGTAAGTTCGGTATTTATTACGGCCATATCGGGATACTCGTACCTCTTCGTAGCTAATATTTGGTAAAAGTACGGGTAGCACAAAGAATAGTAAAACACAGAACAGTTTATAAATGATTTGTTGATAATGTCTCTTATAAAGGGTGCTGTACGTCGATTATCTCGATGTCTTGTGCAGGTCCCGGTGTGTGCGGACACAAGCAGTTGAGCAGAACTGGTTATCGCTGTACTCGTAGGGCACGAGGCCTGATATGTCACAGGCACACTGGAAGCATCGTAACAACACTGGCCGCTCGGTCGCCGTGGGCTGCGACGACAGCAGTCGACGCTCAGCTGCCAAGGCGCGCTGGAAAAGCCACAGACATAACATTTTCTTCAAGGCAACAACTCAATTTTTGACATTTTAACTTGTCAACAAACTGAATGCGTTTAATTTCTACAACTGCGTGTGAATTACCGTTCTGTCATATAATAAGGTTGGTCGGTCCTTTTCGTGTAACGATAATTCAAAATTGTAAAATTAAAATGTATAATGAATATCACATGTAATGAAAATTTATAAAAAATAAACATTTCGCATTTTACCATTCTTCACAATTAATAATCATGATAATCAATGACGTCTTTTAACGAACCTTTTCTCGGTCGCTTAGGTTGAGATAGCGTTGCCGTTCCTTCTGTTCCTCCAACAATCTCTGTTTCTTGAGCTTGTTCTCTTTCTGTCGCGCTTTCTGAGCAATTCTCTTAGCTTCTTTTTCTTTGTTCCTCCGTTTCTCTTCTTCGGGATTCAATGGAGCAGGAATGGCACTCTTGAAAACATAAAATGGGTGAATGAGATAAGAAGTAACCATGCACTCCTTCGTCAACAAAATTCAAAAATGTTTCCTCCGTCTGATTTAACTCAGATCAAGGCTTATGCACTTAGTGCATACCTTCAATAACTTCAAGATACGGAAAATATGTGTTCACTGAATCAACTAGATCAAGCATTAACTTCCAAACATGATAGTGTACAGTATGATGTTCACTTAGTGCTTCTGACGACTCTAAACCACAGGATAACTATTGGAACGGAAACCTCGTTTCTATAACATGTTAATTTTTTTATCCCTTTAGAATTCTAAGTCTATAGACATTAATTTTTATCGTATATAGTAGTGTTCATTGCTTATCGTACTCATCTTTTTTAACTTCTTTTAACTTATGATAGAGGTGGTCTCCGAACGTTTACTTGAAAACTTGAAGTTTTTACTTGGCGTTTGCTTTGCTTTCATATTCATGGTGAATAGCATGACATAAGGCGTGCTCATGAATACCTTGGCGTAGTTATGAGCATCGGGATGTTGGGCTCGGTAGCGGCGGTAGAGAAGCCTGCCTGCGTTGGTCGAGCAGCAGGAGTACGGCGCTCTATGACGACTGTCTTGTGTGGAGGGATCGCAGCCTCCCTCTTCCAGCAACCATCTGTGAAATGCAGTGCGGGACATAATATAGATCTTACCCTTGCCATAATTGGGGGACATTGTCAAAAAAAATACGAAAAGTGTAGGTATTTATAAGAACAAACATAATAATTAGAAGGAAATGGGTTAAATATACAGCTCGATAAGTCTAATTTCGGTGTAGGAGAAAAAAAAATTAAAAAAGACACTTGCTAAGCTATTAATTCAACCACTTTTTTTTCAACGCATCTCTAACTAATAAAGTCCCATTACGAGGCGTAGTTCAGGGCTTACCGTGTTGACGCATTTACGTTAGAATTGAACTTTCCCGGAAAAATAATTACAGAGATGCACTTATACTTCCGTAATTTATATAGGTACATCCAAGGTAAGGCATATGTACATTTTGCGTTGGTTTGAATGAAGTTCCCACTGAATGTTTATGTATAATACGGATGAAGCTCACTTGACGAGGTCGAGTTTGTTGTTCTCTGTAGCGACGTGCAGAGCCGTCTTGTGCGTCTCTGTCATGGTCATGTCCAGGAGACTGATGCTCTGCCAGTAGCGCTCTACACACGACACTACACCAGCACCCAGGTCCTGATCTGCACATGAATACACCACGTCACAGTCTGCATCACAGAGGAACATTTAACATTTGTCGCATTGTACATGTATAGTTGAACCTAAATTATAACGTAGTAAGTAGAAGTAGTAGGTTTTCAAGCGCTTCATAAAAACTCGATTTATTTTGCGGTGAAGGTAAAACTTTGATTTATACAGCGCCGCCGTCTCCAAGTGTTTCAGGCTCGTAGACTGGTCCAGTCGGCAGTAGTGATGTATACCATAGTAATATTATTCAGTCCAATAAGGGTTAATCAAGGTTCGCGGTCTCAAGACCAGCATTTAAGTCCAGTGAATTGATAACCATCTATCAGTAAAGCACAAGTTAACGTGCATCATGTAATGATTAGAAAATTCACCATTATAGTATCACCAATATTATAAATGTTTTTCGATGATTTGGAAATGATATCATGAGATAAGATTTTTTACTGTGCTATACAGAAATAAATGAATATTTGTGAAGCCACAAACGTTAAGGGCTAGTGGCTTGACAAAAGTTATTAATTAACTCCAATTATAGAAGGTCACCTAAACCATATAACGGCGGAGCTTAAGGCGGTAAAGCAGACTTATTATGTTTTGCGTAAGTGAATAAATAATGGTTCCGCCACCCCGCCAGCCTAGAGTAAATTTTATCGCGTCATGATGAATGAAAAGGGTAAACCCAGTAACTTGCGATTTAGAATAGATTGATTATTAAAAAATGAAAATTATGCACTTGCTTATTTTGACTGGAATCATAAAATAACAGCCAAGAAATAGAAGGAAACACGGCCAGCCATAATTAATTACCGATTGAAATTTCAGCTATCTGATTAAAATAAATCTGTACTCTGACGGTGTATCAAAGAAGAAAAAAGCAAAGATAAAAAAAATAGATTGATGATCCGTAATTTAATAGGTATATTGAATCGCTACTGCAGTTCGCTACTCCAACAAGATAACTTTATACTCTCAAGAGAATATCTAATCTATAAATAACGCAATTTTATTATTTGTTTCACCTTTAGCATCGTTGATGTCGCCGGACTGGCAGAAGGCGAGCAGGGCTTTCATCCTCTGCAGGTTTCCACACCTACACACCGTGTACAGCTCTTCTCGCAGCTTCTCCATGCTCCTCTCTCCTGCATCACAACACCAAGCGTTATCTAGAGATACACTTATACATCAGGGGCCATACTTTCAAAATTCGCTAAGTAAACATAACTACTTACGCTATATTTTCTTGTCTATTATTGGCGGATTTTGCTTGAAAGGCCACCAATGATTGGCTGATGAACTTACGATCTCTTAACTTTTTTTGAAAGTATGGGCCCTGTACTGCTAGTTACAACCACTGCATTCCATTTTAATTGTGGGGACTCTAAAGTTTATAATAAAAGATCAAGCGTCCCAGACTATATTAATCACTTCCACAGTTAACTTCCTGGACACTTCAGTTTTGCGACTATATTACCTATATAAACCCACTACGAATTTTGATTTAATTTGAACTATCTGCCAATAGAATGCACATTGAACCCTGGGATATTTAAAACAATCCGTCTATTCCATCTTATATAAACTTACGGTCGATTTCATCAATAGTTTCCTGACGACTCTTGACAATGTCTACATTATTGCCAGATATTTTTTGTTTCTTTTTCTTCTTCTTCTTGGCAGGTTTGCCAGGACTGACGTGGAGGTCCCCACGTGGCGTAGGTGACGGTCTTGGCAGCTGCTCGTCGCTGCTGTTGCTTTTGCTGCTGCTGCTGTGGCTGTTGCTTCGCGATCTGCAAAGCAGAAAATAATAAGAAAAAGCAGGCAGTATAAGATGAATTAACGAATATGAATGAAATCAGGAACTGTGTAGAAGTCCCTTTTTAAATATCTTTAGTAAGAAATTCATCATTAGTCGAATAGTTAAAAAATAACTCAGTAGTCATTGCAGTGAGTGACAGAGCGCGCATTTTCTCGTCGACGAATACGTCGTCACGGACGGACGGACGGACATGACGAGCACTATAGCGCCTTTTTTCCATAAATGAGAAAATGCGCTAAAAAGGTGGTGGCAGAAGAATGTTCATTTTTGACGAAACTTGATACTATCAGTTAAATGTGCCTCAAAATTGAGGCAAAGAAATCGATTCAAAATTATGTTATTCCAGGGCGCTGAAATCGTAACAAGTCATAGTTGACGATAAAAAGATTTTATTAAAGATTTAGAGTGAGTTAACTCTCCAGTGACCGCGTGATTACATAGTATGTAATCCATGGTTACGAAAATCGACCGCAACGAAACCGACCACAAAGGCGACCAATCTGGTGAGTTTTTATCACGCGACCACTGAAGTTATTGGAGTTAATGAAGCAAAGGAAGGCACTTTACACACTTGACCGAGAGGCTCCTGGAGAAGCGCCTGCAACGCTCGCGTTTGAGCTGTTCTTGCGAGCGTCCACAGCTCTTATCGCGTCCGGGCCGCAACTTGTCACCCAGAGTGGCCAGAAACGCCTCCATCGAACCTGTTATCGAAGAACAAGCTCACTATAATGCATGACGTATAATGTAGAAATACATTAGTTATAACTTACTGAACTTTAGATTATTTGAATAACCTCATTGAACACGACGAACCATTCAATTGAACATCAATTGTCGTTGAGTTGCTTAGAGATAAAAATAATTTACAACTAAAACTAAGCAATTTTCTTTAACAAAAATGTTATGCACTCAAAAATAAACACGACTCGACACTTTTCCGTTCATAAGACCCACAGGAAAGCAGCTTAGCCAATTAGAATGAGTAAAACTCACTGTCTCTAGTGAAGCATCATTCAATGCTCAGACTTATTAGACAAGACACGCGCCGCCTGGGTACACAGCCCAGTGAATGTGCACAATACGTCAAATTTGTACTGTCATAACTCCAAAAATGAAATCTTTGGAAAGAACTCGAATTCCACGAGGAAATGTCAAAAACATTCAATTATCGAGCAACTCCGCCGTGAGCCTCAACGAGGGCATGATCTTCAAGCGCCCGTCCCGTCCTCCGGCGTGATACTAGCCCCCCTAAGAGCCACGAACACAACAGAACTGCTCCAAGAACTCACCATGCACCCTGACTTCCGCAAGAAGGCCGTGCACACGTTTGAGCTCAGCAAAAGTGGGCTTCCGAGTCGAGAACGGAATCTGAGAAAAATGTCAGTAAGAGCAATTAATCCAAATAATCGAAACAATGATAATTTCAAGAAGTAATTGACGATTACTTATAATATTGTTTACAGTAAAAGAATTAATTGATTTCACAGTAAAAGTTCCTAAAATACATCAGTAAATAAAGCTATTGTGCCATGCTCAAGTTTCTCGGAAAGTAAAGAATACCACACAAAATTTATTGAAATTTACCACTTCTCTACGTGGAATTAAGAAACACTTTTAGTAGCATACCGCATGTTCAGGCCTATATATATCTAACGAATATTGCTACTCTTCAGAACTCTATTTTGGCTGTGATTGTTGCCCCTGTCACCTCATGAAGCCTCTTGTTCTGATTTTACTACAGAACGATCCTCGTTAAGACCATACGCAGTACTCTTTTCAATTATTATGAAGAACCAAGTTTAATATTTCTAGATAGTCGGTAATGTAGCGTGCTCACGTTGCGCAGGCGCGTGTCACTGGGATCGATTAGGCAGGACTTTCCGCTGCGGAACAGAAGGCTGCGCTTACGGCGACTGACGCGCGTGAAGATCAGGTGACAACATTGCAGCAGCGGCAGCCATTGTTGTACCACTTCTTGTACGTGCTGCACATGTACAAAGATGAGCATCAACAATGTGAATCTGGGCTAAAAATTAATGTCCTTCATCTAGCATTAGCCACTAAGAATCTTCTCAATTAGCATTTTCGTATTTCTATCCGCAGTTGGCGGTGACTTCAACTAAATTTAGGCCTAGAGCTAGAAAAATACCTGGCACTATTAGGTTGAACCTAGCATAAGTAAAACCCGATCTCTGTTCATTCCCTTTAGGAACTTTTATAATCCAACTTAAGTAAAACCCGATCTCTGTTCATTCCCTTTAGGAACTTTTAATTAGGTTGAACCTCGCATTTCATATTAGGCTAGAGACAAGTAAGGGAAATCCTTGAAAATAGTAGGTTGAAGCCAGCATTTCATATTAGGCTACAGACAAGTAAGGGAAATCCTTGAAAATATTAGGTTGAAGCCAGCATTTCATATTAGGCTCGAAAAAAGCAAGTGAATAGAAATAGAATTAAGAACCTGACGATATAAGTTAGGTAATAAGTAACCTGTGCATGAGCAGCTTCATTGTAGCGCCTAAGGCTGGCCCCTGCAGAGCGAGGATGGCTGGACCCACAGGAGCCGTCGTAAGAGCCTTGAGATTTGCCCTGACCTGCCCGCACTGTGTAGCTGTGTAGCGTCTTGTGTACCAGGACTTCATTGCCTGTATTAACACAACTGCATTAGTCATGTTACTTATTCATGTGTCGTGTGTAATGGCCTGTGTGAACAGGTGATAAGTAAAGCTTTGAGTAGAGGTAAAGTAGCACATCTTTGAGAAAGACTAGTTTTTTTATGTCCATTGATTACAATTGGAATACATGGATGTTTACCTGGACAATAAAGCATTAAGACTGCAAGGTTCTAGCAACAGGCCAGTGTTTCACCCACCCCTAGCAACGGGCCAGTGTTACACCCACCCCTAGCAACGGGCCAGTGTTACACCCACCCCTAGCAACAGGCCAGTGTTACACCCACCCCTAGCAACAGGCCAGTGTTACACTCACCCCTAGCAATGGGCCAGTGTTACACTCACCCCTAAAGACTGCCCCAGCAAAGTGGCCTCCAGACTGTAGCAAGATAGCCCACTGTTGTCGGCCGGGCAGCTCTGTTGCTGCTGACACGAGCTCCTGTCCATTCTCTATGACGACCTGCAACACCAGGGTTTTGTTCAGCCTTTAATACATATATATTAAACATAGTACTGGGTATTACTCATAGTAATGGGTATTAATATTGATGCTGCTGTGGCCCATTCAATAAAATTGGCATCCCTTGATCCCTAACAATGCGTATATAGCTCATGGAAGAATCAGGCTAAAGGACAAATTAAAGGTTGAAAAAGAATTCAACAATACAAATAATTTGAATAGTTGACAAAAAACAGATTAATAATTGCTGTAAATTTATCAGCCAAAAGAAATTATTAAAAATTGCAGCACATTTATCGAGATTTCCTGGAACACATGTGAGCAGTATACCTACCTAGTAGTTGAAGTACATGTTATGTACTACCTACATAATTATATCAATAGTAGAACCGTTCCTGTCTTATTGATAAAGATTAAAATATTGTGCTGTCAAAAATTATACCTTACAACACTTTGAAATGATCATAATTTCAGTACTGAGTAAATTTGAACAAGTATTTCAACTTCAAGCTAACTGAATAAACCTTAACAATTTTAAAATATGCATACTGCAGCATCATGGTATAGTGCTTCATTGATGGATCAGGAACAAAGAAGTATTGTTTGGAACAAATTCAGTGGCCGTACCTTCCTAGGCAGAAGCAGTGCTCTACACACCGACACAACACATCCAAGAGCGCTGTTCAGGAAGTAGAGGCGGGGCTCCCTGTCGCCTGGTAATACACTAGCAGCCACACCTAGTAGACCGTACCATAAAATAAGAATGTTACTGCGTATCAAGGAAGCAATTCAGCAGAGTTATGACATCAAGCTTATAAACAACATTCCAGCATAGGTAGGTTAACACTAATGCAAGGTTAGATACATCAATGTTGAGTTTCTCTCCTTTATGTTCATCCACGTTATTCTCAGCCAAATTCTGAAGAGACTAATGAAATTCAACAGCTCATTGACCCTAATTTTATTTTTTATTTCATTTCAGAAAACCTTTAAGATCCCAATTCCTGGCTTAGCAATAAGAAATTATATTAAAGTTCATTCAGCTTATAATTAGATGTGCATTATTACCTTAAATATTATTAAATAAATAAATTTTGTATCTTAACAATATGCTAGTTTCATTTAGGCAAAAATCTTCATGATGAGAGGATATTCAACATACTTTCTCTTGAGTCATCATCATTGGCTTCTTGATCTGACTGACTGTCAGAACAGCTGTCTTGGTCATCCTCATCAGACTCAGATAAGCTGCTATCATCAGGCGTTTCTGATAGTAAGGAAATTACAGATTAGTAAAATAAGCTCATTATTGCCGTCTAGCCGTCATCTAATCTATCATGGATCTTACTGGTTTAGCATAGGTGTTGTTTGTTTTAGCATAGACGTCATCAGTCTTGGCATATGTCCTCTGTTTTAGCATAGATGTCATCTGTTTTTATCCTCTCGTGTCTTTTTTAGCCACTTGTAACGTGCCCTCGAAGCTTGATCTGAATGAGACGCCAAGACAATCTCTTCGTGGAATAATAATACTATTAATAATATTGTGGGTCATTTCTTTCATGGCTTCAAGGTTATTCAAATGCAGGATTGAATTTTCCTGCACTATCATTGTTATCCGAGCAAAAATTTTTTTAAACAGAAGTTGTGAATTGAGCTGTTTCTAAATGAGGTTTATAGCAAGACGTGCCAATTTTTCAATAAGAATGTTAATAGTTGAAATGCAGCAAAGAGTTTTAACAGCATTGAAGATCATAATGACATAGAGGATACAGTACAATTTATATATAAGGTAGTTGTATTGAATAAACTTGTTTTAAATGCTAATACTATTGAACAAATTGTTTATATATCATGTTTCACTTTAATTCACCTATAAAACGTTAAAAATTGCAATAAACACACGGGGGGCTTGTGTATGGAACTGGTGCAGAGTGAGGCACTGGAGACCCCGAAGTAGCCGTTCCTGATTATGCTGGTGGTAAGGAGTGCTGTAGTGCAGCAGCTGCTCTTGCCGATCATTGAGGGCCACATCACACACACTGCACTGCACACCTCCCTCTGACATGCACAAGGCATTCCTTGACTGCTCTGTTAACAAAATGGAGCAAGTTTTGGTGATTTGATTCAAAAAGCATACATTTTTAATGTTTATGATGCAATTTAAGGCTTTTTACATTTTGGTAAAGATTTAACTTATTATTATTTAATGTGGCACAGGGAACATTTTCAAAAGTTACAAAGATTAGAGTGCAAGAGGATATGTACATACTTTGTTTAGGAACTACTGCAATTCAGTAGATACGTGTAAGCCTATCAATCATTACTCACAGTGACTTAGTATATGCAACAGAAATAGCACTTGATGTCATCAATTGCACTTGAAGTGTGTATGAAATTAAGATGTAAGAAATCAGCCAAATCTCATTATAAGGTTTTGACATTTATATTTTACCTTTGGCTAATGCCACATCTTGTTCTGAAAATGCCAATTTGCCCTCCTCAACAGCCTTGTGCTCACTAGTGCCAGGAACCAGACTCAGGGAGCTCAACAGCAACGAGCTCTGAAAAATAGTGGAATTTCAAATAAAAACATTGACAAAGGCAGTTCAGTTACTCAGTTAAGCATATCATCTTACAAAATGATTCCAAGATTATTGTAATGTTAATCTGACTCATAACACAAACAGACAGAACCCGAGCCCTGTGGTGACAGAACCCGAGCCCTGGACCCCAACCACCCCAGCCTACCGGACCTCAACAACAATATCTCAGCCGCCATTTCCACTCACTCCCGCTCAACCTCCCCTCCACGCCAATATCACCCGCTGGCTAATCTGCTACATCAGAGGCAGGACAGCCAGGTGCTCTTACAATAGCTGCACCTCTTCCCCGCGTCCGGTCCTCGCTGGAGTCCCACAAGGCTCCGTCATCTCGCCCGTCCTTTTCAACTCCTATGTCTCAGACTTACCCCAGTCCGCCCCTCTAATTACCTCCTATGCGGACGACTTCACGGCCGCTGCGGGGGCCGTGCAGATCACCGACGCGTCTGCAGTCCTCACCTCCCACTCCTCCGATGTGGCTGCATGGGCTCGTCGGAAGGGGTAATCGGTGTCTATCCCCAAATCCCACTCTACCCTCTTCACCTTTGACACCCATCAATCACAAACAGACCCTCACGTCAACTGGGAAGGGTTCGACCTCCCACTTTGTCGAACCCCGAAGATCCTTGGGGTCACTTTTGACCCCCACTTCACCTTCTCGCCCCACATCGCTGAGATATGCCAGCGAGCCCGCCCACGCCTTAACGTCCTCAAATCCCTCGCCGGAACCAGCTGGGGACAGCAGAAGGAAACCCTCCTGGTGACTTTCAAGGCTCTTATAAAGTCCCTCTTCACCTATGCTGCAGCAGTGTGGTTCCCCAACGCCTCTCCTTCGGCAATCTCCAAGCTGCAAACCATTCAAAACTCTGCCCTCCGCATAGCCACGGGATCTCTTCTAATGGCCTCTGCTTCCCACCTACACAGCGAAGCTGAGGTCCTACCCGTGGCCGAACACCTCTCCCTACTCTGCTCGCAGTTCCTGGCCAGTGCTCTACGTTCACACCACCCCAGCTACCCTATTGTCACCCAGACATCAGGGCCCCGCTCCATGAAGCACACGCTTCAGTCCTGCTTCCTCCCTTCCGTCTCTCACCTGCTGGTAAAGGGATCCCTCCCCCCCGACTCCTACTCCGCTGCCCTCAGCACCCTGCACAGCTCCGCTGTCTCATCCTTCCTGGCCTCAGCAGCTCCCAACAAGGTGCTGCTGACCCCTGCCCCCACTGTCTCGTCCAGCGAGCTTTCCTTCCCCAGGGCGGCCAGAAGCGCCCTTTCCCAACTCCGCTCTGGCTACTCATCGTGGCTCAACTCGTACCTTGCCCGCATTGGTGCAGCCAACAACCCACTCTGCCCTGAGTGCGGCGCAATAGACCACACCACCCATCACCTCTTCAACTGCCCTTCGCATCCCACCTCGCTGACCCCGCTGGCCCTCTGGTCTAACCCTGGGCCGACTGCGGCTTTCCTCTCGTCGCTCCCATCCTTCGCCGACATCCTTGGAGTGGAACCTCCGCTCCCCCCTCCTCCCCCGGAGCCGCCGCCTCTTCGTGGGCGCCGCCGAGCAGCGGTCCCGGGCAATTAACAACAACAACAACAACATAACACAAATACACAATATGTGTTAATGAAGAAGAAGATTGTTAGAAAAATATTATCTCACCTGTGATGAGAGCTCTAAATCATGTTTATCTGTTTCTAAAGCTCATTTCAATATGAGGATAAAAATTAAAATTTCTCTCCAAGAAGATTACCCATATTACTTTGGTTAGGTGTTGGAGCAATCTTGTAAACAAACTAATGCAAAAAAGAAACCATTCATAAAACTCACCTGAGTATTGTTCCATAAGAATATCTTTTCAAAAACTGGATGTTTTATATCTGTCATATCTGCTTATTAAAATATTCCCTAAAGATAAAGGACACAATATAGATCAGGACTTATAGAGCTAAAATTGTGGGTTTCAGGCCATGTAGCTTTGCATCTACAGTAGATCATGCAAACTGCAATTTTTTCTAGATATATTACGTAGGACAAATGATGTACCGGTATACATATATTAAAAAATTAATGAATAATTTCAACTTTCCTTAACATGAGTCAAGATGGACTAGTTTGTTAAATATGGCCTCTAATAATATATGAATAGATTACTATGCATGATCATGAAAGACAGCTTAGTATATGCTGCTTTATCTGAAGATGATTTCAGATTAGTCCTCTCATTTTAAAAAATCAATTTCTCCTGTTAAAGTTTCCCATGCAAAATTAGCTTATTGAAATCAATAAGGTGCAGTTAACGTATGAAGGGCACATGAATTTCTAGTTTCTACTCAATAGAAACTGAACTCATAGGCTACCTTGCTGCTTTTTATAGAATATAGACTTGCAGTTATTAAAATTTGTATAATACTGGTCAGACCATCAGAACTACAATTCATAGGGTTTGATAAGCTGATAACTACATGATGACTACAAAGCCATTTTAATAGTGCTAAAAAGATATGGTTCAAATTTGTTTATAAAATAGATTCTTCTATTATATAAATGGGGAGTCAGCATTCAGGCCTCCTTTAGTTCTCCTACTCCCAGCTGGAAGAAACTCAAGAAAGAGGATATTATCTTACAGGAGGAGGATCTTGCATATTAAACATTCTAATATGAAAGATAAAAATTGACCTTGAATGCCACGACAAGGCATTCCTGCCATTTCTGGAAACACAAGATTTTTACCAGATGAATTAGGCCCTACCTCCTATCTAATTGTTAACAAAAGTGTGCAATCAGGCAGAGATTATTGAAATTTGCATTAAAAATTTTTGACACTTTGAAGCCACAAGATTTCTTTAACAAGTAGGAAAATTCTTATGATGCTGCTAATATGCCACTGTGCAGAGAGTGGATGAATATTGCAAGATCTTTGGCGACGTTTCAGTAGCAAAATTTGTGCCTTCAGAAGATCTTGCCGACACATTTAGATTGAAATCTTTATATTCAATCTTTCATTTAATATATTTGTCAGTCTTCGGCCATCTATTTAAAAAAAGTAAGGTTTCCGGTATGTTTGATTGATCAGTATTCAGTGAAGCTTGTCCGGAAATCAGTTGCGATGAGTTCCCACCAAAAAAATGTAAACATCAAGTTTATGATTACGTAGTTGCAGTCACATTAGAGTGGTCAGACTGCATTATCACATGTTCAGTTGACACTTGCTGTACAATCGGACTGTTTTTAGGGTAAAATGAGTTATTTGGGGTAACACCTGCATGCAACCTTGTAAATAAGTTCGTGGCTTGTAAATAGTTTTTCATTACTCAGCGTAAATGGCTTTTCATTAAAAATTACCCAGCGACACATTTTAAAATTACCCGGCGTCGGCCGGCGACACTTAGGGCTTAGAAATTCATATATTGGCGACGCTGCATCCACCCTCTGCACCATGGCTAATATGCAAGCGTGGAAAACATCTCCCTTTAACTCAGTTAAGGACTTGAGGCCATGACTAGAGCTTTCCCACCGTTTCTATTTTCTGGAAGTTGGAGTCCATAGTGGCAAAGCAGAGAGTTTTTTAGACTCTCTCTCAAGTTAATTTTTGAGTCCTATAAGTAGATCAGCAAAGTATCATGGATACCAGTATTATTATACATAAGAAATTCGTTTAAATCTGAGTTGAGTAGATCAGCCGCACTAGGTGCGTAACAGCCGTAACTCACTAGTCACTAGAGCCTAGAGGGGCTGAAACTTACTGGGTCATGAAACGATTTTTGTTTTGCAAAGCCGACTCTTTAACTGTCAAGTTTCCTTGTTATTTTATTAGCTGATGCCTACTGGCAACCGCCTGCTACTCACCATCAATTTTGGCATCCTTGACGTCTGGTTACTGATGGATATTGGGCATCCACCACACTCAGGAAGATGTATATAAACGGGGAAATTTCTCACGTAAATCAATCTAATTATATTTTTTCGCGTAGACGTTTGTGCAAATCATGGTCATCGATTCCGCGCCGCGCAGCACTCGGCGCAGGCCGCGGAGCCGTCCGACACAGTTCTGATTTAGACACAGTTTTCATCTGAATGGAATGGCAACATTGTCTGTAGATGATTTCAAGTAACGCTGAACCAGCATTGCCAGATGGTATATATTTCTATACCAGATTTCACAAATCTGGTATTTTCAAAAGGTGTCTGGTATGAATATTTTAGATCTGGTATACGGTATATGCCTAAATCTGGTATTTTCTGACTTACTGCAAATTTACTGCATTTAGTTCCACCTCTGAAGTTTGAACTTCCTCCAGCGTAGGCGTGGATTATATTATTATTTATATGAAATGCCTTCAGAGCGGCGCAATTAGAGCTTTCCCGCCATTTTTGGAACCGCAAGTTTTCATGTCAACCGGAACTCGAACACCACAGCAGAGAGTATTTTATGCAACTAATGAATTTCGCAAACTTTGCTGGAAGAGAGATTATTGAATTTTAGAAAAAAGGCGGGATAATTCAATGAAGGCTGGTGGCAGAGCTGCAATCTTGATACTCTATTGTGATTCGTGCTATGATAACCTACGTAACAATTTTCATATGATAGTTATAATTTTTGCACATTCAAAGTATCTCTACTCTCTACTGTAAGTTCAGCACGTGTTAATATACAGTCTGACCGCTCTGACATGACCGCAACTATGCGCGATCTTCAACAAACGTTTTGTTTATTTGTTTACATTACGATGTTTATGTTTTTTCTGCAAGATATTTTTGGCGGAAATGGTAGAGCAATGCGGATTGCGGAAGTTGAAAATTTTATGAAATGACATGTTCATAGTGGCAAACCATAGATTTTTTAGAATTAGTTCATTTTTAATTTCCTCATTTACCCAAGATTTAAATCAATTTCTTATGTATGATACTGCTGGTATCCAGGATACTTTACTGGTCTACTTATAGGACTCACAAATGAACTTGAGGGAGAGTCTAAAAAACTCTCTGCTTTGCCACTATGGACATGTTTGCGAAGTGCAAACCGCGATTTTTTAATCAAACAAAAATTTATGACATTCGAGCCACGAGATTTCATACCTACTGAAATTATATGATATTAGAGCTGCGATATTTCAGACAAAAATAGGACTTTTCCAGACTAGATTCCAGCCAGATGAATTAGTACCTCCCAGTCCCACCTAATAGTTAAGAAAAGTGCACAAACTGGCTGCAAGGTTACAAATGTATTAAAAATTTGCCATGTTGGAGATGCAAGATTTTAGAAACAAGTAGGAAAATTCCAATCCTGGATCTTGCTGCCCTTTTCGCTTTTCCCAACATCTTCATTTTTTTTTCTCTAAGTGCGTAACTTATGCAAACCGTCCTTAGTTCATCAAACGAAGAAGGGACACGCTACAACTCGGACTGAAACCCTCAGAGCCTTTGGGACTTGGGTCCGACGTCCGACTGTCCGAGTATCTGTCAACTTATCTAATCATCCAATATTAATCTGACTGTTTCATCACACCGTGCAAAACGCAGGTAAACGTGATGACATATCACACTGAAACTCGGATGCAGGAAAATAAATTCCGGCTGTAAGGATTTGTATTTAAAGTACTTTCGTACATTAATACCGCTAAAGGAGATTTCTGCATCGATGCAGAAATCTCTGCATCCATGCAATGCCTTTGATGGGGAAAAACTGTAACCTTAGAACTCTGACATTCTAAATTTGCTACAACTTGATGAATCAACTTTTAGAAATTCGAATATCCTCATGGACTTAGTGAGATTTTATAGCCCGATTTTAAATAATACTATTGACGAGTTTCTCTTTGCTTATTATCATGGAACTAATTCGAAAGGTAAAACTATTTTTTATGGTGAAACTATTATATGGCAAAATATTTGTACTAGCACAAAATTCCGCCTGGTAATATTAGTGCGGTTTCAACCTCCGCCGGGTCAGCTATGGTAAGTCGTTCCAGAAGTTGTTATAATAGCGGTTTCAGCGTTTATTAGGCCATAGGCCTGTCGCCGGTTCCTAAGGGGACCGGCTACCCTAAAATTTTCAATTCTGGCGTTTTCTGGTTTTTTGTGCTCATCTTAAAGCTTACTTTCTGACGCATTGAACGGTACCAGAATCATCCCTCTACGTCGAAAAATGATTTCGTGACAGCTCCCCAAAGGGGGTCTGTTTTTAGGGCCCTTCAGTAAAGTTTATGGGATTAATTCGAAGGCTGGACACACTAAAAAGGAACGTCTGACGTAAAGCGGCTAATAATGGCATTATCCGGTGCTTATACTCATCTTAAAGCTTACTTTTTGACGCGTCGAACGGTACCAGAATCATCTTTTGGGGGGAAAATGAGAAAAATGGGATAAAACGCGCATAAAAAAAACTAAGGGGAAAATGAGAAAAATGATCATCAAATCGATAGGTATGGTCCTTACGAATCGAATGATACTTGTCTCGATGTTGTAGGATGATATTTGTAGGGGGAGATAGATTTTCTAAAGTACCCCCTTTTTAGCCGTTTTCTATGAATTTCACGTTTTCTATCAATTTTTTCGAAAAATTCATAGGAACAAAATGTTATTTTTTTACATTTTACGTATGTATGTGAAGTTTCATGATGATCGGGTAATAACTGTAGAAGTTTTTCCGGAGGGTAGCCGGTCCCCTTAACACCGCAGAACATCCACAGCTTCTTGCGGTCTCGAACTCACCACTCACTGATTCAAATTCTGCTGTGCTTAACCGCCCGGCCTCCTTGCCGACTCTGACCAGAAACTGGCGCACAGAGCTGCTGGGGCCGGATTATCAATACATCGCTAAGTACACGTAGCGACTTACGTGTGGCGTAAGTGCTGATATGAAGAAGTAACTCTAGCGGTGGTATTATCAAAACATTTGCACGGGAAGCTACGTACAAAAAGCCGTACGTAGCTCTACGCCTGCTCGGAGGTGTCGTAAGTGGAGCTACGTAGACGTTTTGAGTGTGCCGAAGCAATATAAAACTATTGACTTACTTGCAACACGGTGAATTGTGATAGAATTTTGTCAATAATCCAACATAGGCATAATATGTGATCGTGTCAAACAGTGCTTTTTGAGAAAAAATTCAATTAAGTTATGCCAGCTAATTTCTTTTCCTTTTGTGCTATAATTTGCAAGCAAATCTTGATATTCGTATCTAAGAGTTTTATGATCATTTACTAAAATAATATCTTCATGACTTTTTGATTCAAAACTAATTGGAGTTTGACAAGCCAACCATTTTTCTAGCTACGTACACAAATTCCTTTCTTTCTCCGCTGATAGTTGAACTCCAACTCACAATATGCTCCCTAGTCAGTCAACGCAGATGACGCTGACACAATACAACCTCCTTTCATCCACGCGCACTGCGTACTGAGTCGACAGGAGCTAGGAATGACAAATTCGAAGCCTCTGATTGGTCAGTTAGTTGGATGGTTTCGATAACACCTTTTCAGTTGAGTCTAGCGTAAGACAGTTTTGTTAATGCCAAATTTTGACTGACTTAGGCAATACGTAACTTTTCGAACGTAAGTAAGAAAAGTTACGTGTACTTAGCGAAGTTTCGTTAATCTCTGCCCTGCGATCGAACCCACGCCTCTTTGCGCCAATCTTGGTACTCTGAACTGTAACCACTGGGCCACCCTGCTCAGTTGTTGTTCTTGATATCGTTCTGGCTTTCTTGAAGAAAAGGTTCCTACTGCGTTTTCTATGTTTTATACAGACAGCATCTTGTTGCAAAAAACTAAGTGGTATGAACTGACGTCCCGGACAAATTTACGGCCGGACTTGTCGCCGGTCTCCCCAAATTAAGTGAGCATGGAATACCTCTCAAAGTAATGAACGTAGCTCGATAAAACTTGGTACACGTATTCATTAGGACCTAACGGTGATGTTTAGCTCGTGAACATTTTTAGAATTTCACCTTAATTCGTGAGTTACATGACGATACGTGCTGAAATTTGCAGTGAGCATGACATTTCTTCAAAACTACTGTACAGATTTGCATTTAGAATAGTACACACTAGTAGAATAGTAGAAATAGTAGAAACCTAACTTTCCAACGGTAATGTTTAGCTCATGACAATTTTTTTTTTTAGATTTTGCCTTCGTTTGCGAGATTTTTTTTTTTCACTTCTACCTCATTCGTGCTTTAAACAGTAATTCGTGCTTAAATTCACAGAGAGCATTGAATTTATCCTAAAACACTGAACAGATTTGATCGAAACTTCGTATGTGAATACCTAATCTTCCAATGGTGATGTTTATTAGCTCGCGACAATTTTTTCTATTTTGCCTTCGTTTGCGAGTTATACGGATATACGGAGAAACGATCGGCATTTCTCAGCCCGATTTTTAAACTTGCATTGACCAAGAGCTATATATACGTAAAGCCGTAGCGTGACCTGTCTAAAACGATGCAACCCTTGTTCACATGACGTGACCACCACATACAGCAGCGTAGCCGACTTCTGCCAGTCACACCTTGCCGCCTTCTGCCAGTCACACCTTGCCGCTTTCGGCTTCAGTTGCGAAATTTGCTTCACTTGTGTTGCTGAAGTCGACCTAACAGGTCACAGTTCCGCTCGCTTCCTAAGAATTAGAAGCCTTAGTTTAAGTGAATATATTTGACTATTTTTAACCTCGGAATTTAAACTTTAGTGAAATAATTTGCATAATCAAATAGATATTTTATGGGAGCAGCACGATGCAATTTGATGCTTCAGATCGTAACTATTGACATGGTCTCCTTTCATTTACAGCCAAGCATCAACCTCTTCACATTTGTTCATATATTTCATAAATATTTCTATTCAAGTTTAACCGTTCGCATTCGAGCATTGGACTTGGCAGCACTTTGCAAGACGTCTGTATAGGCCCTTTTCCACTACGAGACTGATTCTGAAGGATTGAGATTGGCCTGAGACCAATAAGCCACACGGCTGGGCCTCAAAACGGGCTTATAAGCGTTTCCATTGAACGCGCGTGTGCTGGGATCGAGAGTCGAGACTGAGTTCCATCTGGGCCACTGCGCTGCCACTCGCGGCATTTCAGTGCGTATATTGGAGCGACAGCTACAAACGACCTACTGAGACAGAAGTCTCAGCGACACTTTCGCACGCATGCTGGCGATGCTGCTCATAGTCTAGTCAAAGATTGAACAGCGCTTGACTCCCCGTTGCGCCAGTCTCGATGGTCCGAAGCCCTGACTGCCTCAGTCTTGGCTGAAAAAGCCAGTTTTTAGGCGTCAGTCGTGCAGAGTCTCATAATGGAAAAGGGACTCAATCCTGTCATCCGACGTCAGTCGTCCTGTCATCCGACGTCTGTCGTCCTGTCATCCGATGATCCGACGTCTGTCGCCCTGTCATCCGACGTTTGTCGTCCTGTCATCTGACGTGGGACCTGCCCTGGGACTGGCATGCGCCCTTGATCGCTGAGGTGAGCCATATCAGTTGTCGTAGTTCTCGGCTCATGATCGAGGAGTGCGTGCTGCTTTCCTAGAAATCCTACAAGAACCTTTCATCCGCAAAAACCCTTCACGATTGCTTATAACAAAAACATGATATTTATTACTGTAATCATACCTATAACGATAACTTTAACTGTAATTGAACCTTACAACTGTATCGAACGTATAGATAATTCTTGAACGTATAGAATTGAATTCATGTCGTATTTTTATTTATTTGAATGAATATTTTTTTTTGCTTGTCTCTTATCCCACCATTTAGACTTAGACCGGACGAGAGTTAGGACGTGAAACTGAATTTATTTCCCTTTCCAGTTTTTATTATGACCTACTTTTTGTCAGGCCATCTCATGTTATGCAAGATTACCTCATATTTCAATTTCATTTCACCTAAAAAGATTCGTTGCTGTGTGAATCGAAAACCGTAATTATATGCTGAAAAATATCTATGCACCCCGAGCGCTGAGTCGACTCCATACAAAATAACAAAGTTGAAGAATGTTAATTGCGTCAATTTCTGCAGGATATTTTTCTTCTAGAATTTTTCAATAAAAACCTTTTCATCATATGAAAATTTTCATTTTTAATTCCATCTTCAAACATTGTAAAACAACAAACAAAAGACGCATAACCATCAAATTAACTAACGTCAAAACTGTACTACTTACATAACTCTTAATGTAACAAAGAATAAATTTATACCAGGTTAACTCATACCACGACTTATATACCACTTGGACATGTTCGAGCAAAGGCGCTCCAGGGAGCTGCATGGAGTTTACTAACGAGGGAACGCAACTCGTAGCGGTTTGAGAACAAATCTTTTACCAAAAAATCCCTTCATCTCAACAAGTTTGTTTGTTTGGCAGCAAGTTTCCAACATAAGGAAAATGATGTGCAAGGATAAAACAGACTCAGACTCTTCAACAAAAGTTGTGAATAAATTTCCACAGTTTTTAATTTAGAAAGTTCACGAAAAACATTTAGCCAAGCACTTAATGTAGGAATATTTGTGAACTAACATCATTTAAGAATAACTTGAACCCCCTCAAACCTCGCATTCAAATATATTGGCATACTTTTTTATATAGGCAATTAATATTTCAAGCCTCAATGGATTAACATTGCTGGGTTCCATTACAGATTCAGAAAATATTGAATTAATTAAAATCCCAAACATTGTATCACTATCTCATCATCAAATAATTTCATGGATATCTCAAAATTCAATATACGAATATTGAGTAAGCAGATCATGGGCATTTTATCAACCCCAATACCAAAATAAATTTCAATTTTTCCTGCAGTAATCATGGGTTTCATGTTTCGAAAAAAAAAACATTTTACGATGGAAATTATGAAGCACTCACTTTTTCCGTCACATGATCACCTTATTACTATTTAATTACTGCACTGCAAAGGGAACCTTAAACACCTTCAAGTCGTCATGGTTTACCAAAATTTATTCTTGGCACATCATCGTCATTAATCACCTTGGGTGGAGGTGATTATTGTCCATTTCCGCGTTAGTTTCCACACCGTATGCTAGCACATGAGGTGATTATACAAGGCTAATGCATTACGATACAGGAACCTTCGTCATTATTTACATTTGTTGTGTGAGAGTTCAGCGCACTTTATTCAAACTTACAAAACAAGGGACAACAAACAAAATTATGACAAAAAAAACAGTAACCAATAACTAACAAGCCTTAAATTGGAATGTGTTGCGATTTCGAGAGGCTCTTCAACGAGCGCTTCAGCTGCGTGGAGAAGAAGAGAAGAGAGTGAGGATAAAAGAAGAGAAGAGAGTGAGGATAAAAGAAGAGAATAGAGGGAGGATAAAAGAAGAGAATAGAGTGAGGATAAAAAAAGATAATAGAGTGAGGATGAAAGAAGAGGTCTTGAGATGGGTCGTGATCAGAAGACGGGTGTTCAGACGCCGGCCATCGGCCGTACGTTCAGCACTTGTGCCAGACGCCACTGCACAAGTCAAGCAACACGAAAAAAATAAATCGTTATAATTAAAAATAAATAATCAATAAAATTTTCTGTTGGTAAGTAGAATGCCGGAAAATTATGTCTACTCGCGCATCATCAGAATGACATTAGAATATAATTATCTAAGTTTTCCAGCACTGAGGCAGTACAGGCAAAATATAGTATCAAATATTACGAGATGATTTCATTGCTGGAATACATTGCCCGACGTGCAGAGTCATTTAAGATAACTGACAACACCTTTAGTTGTCGTGATCAGTTTATTATATAGTGGAAAGCACACGGACAAATGGTAAGTCATATTTGTCATATATAAAGTTGTCATATGTTGTTGTCATACACAAATATATATAATGTTGTCATATATAAAGACAAATGTCACTATATATGGCAAATGGTCATATATATAAAGACAAATGGTCATAGAGTCAGTAATAATAATAATAATAATAACAGTAATGAGTGTTATTGTTACACTCCTCGATTCACTCCTCCTTATTGAGATATAGGAGGGAGCCTAGACGCACCGAGTCGGTGATCTGGTTGATGTGGTAGGAGATGCCGGCCTCAGCCTTCACCTTGTGCTCGTGCTGACGCTCAGGGTCTCCTGCCACCAGCACCGGGCGGGAGGCAACAGACTGTCCATGTAAACTCGTGTTAAAAAACTGAGTATAAAATTATCTGGAGGGTAATCCAATACACGATCACCAACACTGATAGTGTTAAAAAACTAAGTACAAATTATCTGGAATGAAATCCAGTACAGAACATATGAGTACACTAATACTGATCGTATTAATAAGCTAAGTACAAATAAAATGTATAAAAAAAATTTTTAAAGACCACGTTTTTCATGTGGACTCAAAAGTAGAAAATAATTTTTCGGCAGCTGCTGATCTCTTTTTGCTTTCATTCTCTTGGTCTTTTGTATTTCAGTTAAAATATTTTACAACATCTAAAACGAAAAACGTGGGGCGCATTATATCCTCTCGAGGATGACGTGCATTAAAGGTTCCAACCCCTGCTTGTGAGTTCCTTTAGAGTTTATACGCCTGGAAACGTGCTACAAATTATTGATTATTGTATTGTTATCGGGAGCTGAGCTTCCCTAAAAGTTTCAGAGCGCTAGCTAATGGGAAAGTTGGTGAACTATAGATTGCAAGATTTGATCATCACAGACACGAAAGCGAGCTAAGAAAAACGTGGTAATTATCTGGAGTGTAATCCAGTACAAAAGAGATGTGTACACATGAGTCCACTAATACTGATCGTATTAAAAAGCTAAGTATAAATTATCTCGAGTGATACACAGTACAAAAGAGATGAGTACACTAATATTGACTCGGATCCGACTTAAAAGAGCCACGAAAAAAAGCTGACATACAATATGAAAGAGTCATGAGCAGTGATCATGGGCTAAACCTGTAAAATATAATTCAATTACATAGAGCATTATCTCGCCCGATCAAGTTAGAGAATAAATATAGTACATTAAATCCTGGTGTACGCTTTCTTCATTGACGTTATTAAAATTTAGCTTCATTAAATTTACAAAATTTATCAAAACTGCCTCGTTAATATGCGCGGAATTCAAGTGAGAAGTTCATGATAGATATGAAAAATTTAGCTCGCTTTAGCTAAGAATTATCGTAAGACCGCAACTAGCTCCTCTCATTCCCGTGCCGCTATCACTGTGCTACAATGGCCTTAACCTCTTCGCTTTCGTGTGTGTACATTACATGTGTGCTAGTATACATATGTACATATGTGTGTTTACATTACATATGTGCTAGTACATATGTACATATGTGTTTGTACATTACATATGTGCTAGTACATATGTACATACGTGTTTGTACATTACATATGTACTAGTACATATGTACATATGTCTTTGTACATTACATATGTGCTAGTACATATGAACATATGTGTGTGTACATTACATGTCTGTTACATATGCACATATGTATTTGCACATTACATATGTCTTGTACGTATGTGTTTGTGTATATGTAAATTTATTGGCTTTATTTTAATTAATTAATTTTGTTATAAACCACGACCGTCCGGTAAGAGAGCAACTCGATCGCAGAAAAAACGCACCGGCTCCATGTTCCTGCAGTGCGTCATGAGGTCTGACATGCGGTCTGCGAAGCCAGGGGCGAAGCACTCAGGGTTGATGGCCACGAAGCACTGGCCGAGGTCTGCTTCACGAGTCGTGTCCATCCAGCGGCGGACGTTGGGGCCATACTGGCCGCCTGCAGGGCATGGCCAGACGGTACAGTAGCGAGACACGTGAACTCAATTTTGGGAGATAACCCATCAATATTTCGCATATGATATTGATAAATAATAGCCAGATCCACTTGAACAACAATAATAGCCAGAAACACTTGAACAATAATAGTAAGAAACACTTGATGGCTTTCTGAGATACATTTCCTCACTATTAAAATGATACACAATTATCAACGGTCGGAATAATGTAGAGATAAACAATTTGATCGAATACGGTGAACTAATAGAACTTGAAGCGCAGCTGGTATACAACCTGTCCACTGAGAGTTCAGTGGATCACGACTCACCGCTGAGGATGCCACAGAAAAGCTCGACCATCATGGCCAGGCCGAAGCCCTTGTAGCCAGAATTGTCCTCAGGGCCGCCAAGAGGCATGAGGGCCCCAGCCATGCCCAGTTCAGGGTCCGTGGTGACCTTGCCATCCTTGTCCTGGGCCCATCCTAGGGGAATCTGCTCCCCCTTCCTCCTGCTCACCTCCAGCTGGGGAAGAAATAAATCTCAAGGCATCCCAGGGAAAAATATAACTCAGTACTCACTGCAGTGAGTGACAGAGAGCGAATTTTCTCGTCGACGAAAACTTGAAGTCACGGACAGACGGACGGTCAGACAGACGGACAGACAGACGGACGGACAGACGGACATGGCAAGCGCAATAGTGCATTTCTTTCATAAATGAGAAAATGCGCTAAAAAGACACCAGTAAAAACCCACGCGAGCATAGACATGTGAAGCGAATGTAGGTGGCCTGAGAATATTGAGAAGACGTGGGTTACTTGATGAGTATTCACCATCTAAAATACTTCAAATGAATAAAATGAATAAGTCTAAATAAACTGAAATTGTATGGAATGTTGTCCCGACCTTGCCAACGGCCACGGTACAGGTGGCCATGTCCAGGACGAAAGGGTCACCGGGCGCTGCAGGGGCGGCCACAGAGATGGGGTTTGTCCCCAGGGCGGGCTGAGGGGTTCAACCAACGAGTTACGTCATCAGCGTCGACAAATGAGGGAAGATTGTAAATTTTATACAAACAAAGGGGGACGATAATATATTTTATATGTACAAAAGGGGGGAAGATAAGAGTAGAAGGGGACATCAATATTGGCCGACATTCGAGAGTGCGATGCTCAAGATACCAACATTGATCAATCGGAGCCGAAAAAATGTTATCCATAAAAAAGTGGTAGTTTAATTTAAGTAAGAACAAGGGTCATCAGAATAGTTGATATAAACGCGTTGACACTCATGAGACCGTGCGGCTGATTAACAGATGCTAGTATATATTGCAAATGCAATTCATTAGTCTTGATACTTTATATTTTTCTTAAAACCATGGGTTTACGTATTCCAATAAGACTTTTTTTCAAAAGTTAATGAACTCGAGAAAAAATCTCTAGTTACCCCTTTGGCACGAGTTGGAGCGACCAGCGGTGAAGTGTTGGTGAAGCTCATGCCCTGCGCATCAAATCATCATTGACATAAATCATTTATTCATTAATAATACTCAATAGTATTGATAATTAGTACAAAAGCTCGACTTTTTTTCAATAATAATATTTAACCCAGCAAAGTTAAATAGATATAATTCAGGATATTTAAATCCGTTAAAATATATTTATATAAAAATTATATATATCATTTACTTTATAATAGCTGGAAAGGTTGATGATGGAGGGTTAAGAAGGGTTAATGAAGAAAATGGAGGGTTAATGGAAACTATTTATCTGACCAGCAGTTCTAACTCAGTCACGGAGAGAAAGGCCAAAAGCGGCTTGTGAATAACTAGACAGCTGCACTACGTTTGTGAGCAGTAAACCACACATAATCCAGTTAACTAATAAGTTAACTATTGACCACTGAGTGTTAGGTTTCGATCAAGTCTCAACCAAAAAAACTAAATGAAGTCGAGTTCCACGTAATCAAACCAAAAATTTCCCTAATTTTTTATACTATTATCCTTACGTCTGGAATAAAAAGAAAAACGAGATATTTTTGGCTTCATAATTTCTAATGAGTTCCGAAGAAAAACCTGTTTCTGGTAGCATGTATTGAGTTTTAAACAATTTGCGGATATGCCAATAACTGAAGTATCTGATGGCAAAGTTGATGACCGAACAAGATTTTCTCCGAAAATCGTTGAAGCGATAAACCTTCATTCCCAAGCCTACGAAAACGATGTTGATATGCAAAATTATCCATATTGCCTTCCACGTACGTTGATCTTGCGGAGGCAGATCAGGCAGCGGGTGTCAACATCCTTCACGTGCCCACTAAGAGGCCTAGGGCACGTGAGCTCCATTCAGAATTATCAGAATTATTCGTCTCCAATAAATATGGCTGAGTTATGTCGACTTCATCTCCCTCCTTGCGCAACGTGGTCACTGATCAACTAGCTACCGCAGAATAAAAAAATTCGGCAGCTGCCGGTTGTAATTGTAATATTTACAATAAAAATAAATTTATGAAACCAGCTTTCATTGAATAAGAATTAATTCAGTTCCCTGATACAAGACAAGAAGGTTAAAAAAGCGTCAATCGGAAGCGTTTGAGAGGAATGAACCGTGGATCAAATCGCTCACCAAAGCGATCAACGCGCATGCGTACACAGGTTGTTGGTGGTGCAAAGCCAGACTTCATGCACATTAGAAAGCATAAAAAATTAGTTAGCGCTAGATAGGAACGCAAACTATTTAGCTCAATTATAAATTGATAACAAAATATATGGCTCATTTTCTTCGCTAAAGTTTCGCAACGGCTTTTGGCGCTAACACCCACCCCTGCACACCATGTCTACCAAGCGCCGACTATTACTGCAGAGCATCACAAATCTTGGAAAAATGCGCAATAGAAATTACATGGTTCTTCACTAAAAGGCTTACAGACATGGGATACAAAAATTAGTCACAAACGTGTGCAAAATTCAGAGGCTAGGAGAAAACTATGGGAATATTAGGGGTTATCTACATCTGGTTTCAAGTCTAACTTGTTTACCATATTGTTCTGGTTTCAGAAGTCTATTGAAGGATCAGAAGTCTATTGAAGGATCAGAAGTCTATTAAGAATAATGTACGGCAGTTAAATGTAAGAATAATGTATTGCACTTTAATGTAAGTTAGAGCAGCAAAAGTCTCCCCCAAGAACAACGCGTTCACATTGGGAGAAGTTTGAGCAATGAGTGCTCGAGTGGTTAGGTCAGTGCGCTCATATTTCCATTCATGGATTGGAAAACAATAATTATCTAATAAGAATTGTTAAAATAATAAATGAAGGCCGGACATTTGCGTTGAGTGAATATATCGTCGACATCACCCTTTCGGGTGAAAAAGTACTCTTATCGTCGAAGAACACACATAAAGTTCCATCAATTGATCATGTGATGCCTTATGCGTGAGTCGTCACTTGTTACTGTGAGTCAAGTGATGACTCATCACGACTCTAACAAGTCTCACCTCTAGCACACACCCAGCCGACGCTCACCTCTAGCACACACCCAGCCGACGCTCATCTCTAGCACACACCCAGCCGACGCTCATCTCTAGCACACACCCAGCCGACGCTCACCTCTAGCACACACCCAGCCGACGCCCGCCTGCCTAGCCTTGGCTATGGCGAGGTCCATGCAGAAGTTGCCCACCACGGGACCCAGGCCATTCCTGCCGTCCACCAGCGCCGTCGCGACGCTCTCCTTCACGATGACGGGATCAGCGTTGCCAGCGCAAATATTCGTGCGTACATCATTCACGTACATCTCTGCAGCGTGCAATAAACAAACAGAGAATGAATTGAAAATATTTTTGATGGATGAAGGGATATGAAATAGTTTTTGTGAATAATGTAGCTTGTAACATTGGGAAAACACGCATTTTACAGCAGATTTAATGGATGTCTACAATAAGCTTGCCGACCACTGAACGAACCAAGCCTGTTGAGGCCGTGGCTGAAGTGCCCCCTGGTGTCGGCGGCGAGCAGAACGTCAGCGTGTTGACCAGCCTTGTCCTCACACACACCTACACTCGTCAGGCACTCGCGCATGAAGCGTCGAGCCTCGGCCACCGACACCTGGTGGGTAGGTGGTGGGTAGGTGGGTACACTAAATACTGTAAGGTACTGTCAACTTATAAGGAGGTAAATTCAGCACTAAGAGGTTAAATTAGCTGAAAATATCCTCAAGTCAATGGAGCGTCGGTCCAAACCATGGTTGAACTATATAAGGTTGACCCACGAGAAGTTCCGTCTTTCAGTTCAGCTTTCTTGTTCCGTCACTGAGATCGAGAAACGTAAACAAACCCGTCATTCCCATGACGGATTGGTTGACTGGTTTGATCGCATCTCGGTGATTGATTAATGCCCGTGACGTCACTGAGATCAGTGACGTCACAGGCGAACAACTAACTACATCCGAAAAAATGCGCTTCTGATGGGTTAACCTTATACTAGTTCAACCATGGGTCCAAACAACACAAATTTACCGAAAGTATACATCGTAAGGAAGTCGTAGCTTATGGGCATCTTTAGTACAGTATAGTAGTATAGGATAGTATCTTCGGCATTGAAGAATAGGCCTGTCGCCGATTCTTGTACTTTTCTTGGCTAGACTGGCCTTTTGATCAAATCTTTTCAACGGACGGTAGATTTAAAATCGCTTCTAGATTTCAGTTGTTCCGTAGGATACGAGGCATTTAAGACTAAACATATGCTCCTGCATGGCCTTGTCTAGTCTGTTCTTAAACGCGTTTATACTCGGAGCGTCAACAATATCTTCAGGGAGGCTGTTCCACATGTCGGTGACTCGAAGCGAGAAGAAATGTTGTCGCGTGGATAAGTT